TGAACTCTTTAGCTTCCGTGTAGCAGAGGCCTAATGGAGCTAATCTGGAAGCTGACACGAAACGCTCTGCGAAGGCAGCGCACGTATGGTAACGCTGGTAACAGCTCAGAGCGTGGTTGTACTTTTTTAGTGACTTTGCTACATACCACTGCAGCTCACCATACAGAGCGGGCCCAGAGCACACAAAGTTAGTTCTGTTTGGGTGAACCTAAACTGGAATGTGTGCTTCAGCACCATACCTGATGTGCTGCAGCTGCTAATTCTCCTTCAGTCTGTGCCTGGAGCTCGTCTGAAGTAACCCTCAGGCAAATAGTGCATGGGTCCTCGGTCCTCAGCACCCACTGTTTCACTGTAGAGCTCTTGTTGGACCGTTCCACTTGTCAGCATACACATAATATGTTGGGAAAATAGAGCAAACCCAGTGTTTCAACTTCCCATGAGTAAAGGGGGGGTGGAGGGAAGGACAGGGAATGTCAGGTATTTATAAATGGTGTTATTTAGAATATTCGAGACAAGCCTTTCTGAATAAAATGTTCTATATGCATCTCCATTTGTATTCATAGAGAGAGGGGAATTCATTTTCTAATTTAAAGTTCCAAAGGACCCTTGGAAAATGTTTCACTCACAGGTGGAAGAAAAAGCTATCTTAAATCTTCCAAAATGTTAAATGCTTGAGGAAGGTGAATGCTAGGAAAATGCTTGCTCCCCAGGCCTTATGCAGCTGGATGACAGAGCAGTGTTTATATGAAGTGAGCTGAATTACACCAGAAGTAGAAAGTATGCCATGTGTTGCCACTGCTTTGTGCTTGTTTATCCACAGATTGGGGTGATTAGCTCACTGCTGGGTTTGCATAAGAATGGGATCTGTTTAAGATTCCCCATTTCTCTGTGTTTGACATGGAAGAGTCTGATTGTGATTATCTTTGATTCACAGAAATACACCTTTCAAAAGAAGTTCCATAGGGCCTTTTCTTAGTCTCTCTTGATGTTTTATTATTTGATCCTGGTTTGATAGAACTTCCCATTCTTGTCTTTCAGGTTACTCCTTATTTCAGAGGGAGGCTTCTGAAATACATGGGAAACACCTAAAAATGTTCAGCTTGGCTTTTCCCCAGTAGCTGGAGATAGTTGGGTGCAAAACTTACCTTAACTCAGAAAGCCCCAACATGTGTTTGTGTCGTTTTCTTTCCGTACATAGATAGATCTGTTTATTGATATGGATACATTTATAGACACCCCCTCCTACAGTTAGTCGAGGCAAAATTGAGTTAGCATTAATTGTGTTAACTTTCTAGTGAGCCTGTGTTGGGGGACATCTACGTGCATAAGAATGTCTCACAGGTTAGGAAATTGTTTGGGTGCTGTAAAACATTGTTGAACATTAGCAGTGCTGGCCCATGAGCACACCCAATACACCTAAGTGTGGGTATTTGCAAAGCTATCTTTTCAGGTAATTTTAAAATTCTCCTTATTTTACAGAAATATTTGCTTGCGGTACTGGAGGGATTACTGGGGATGTTTTTATAATTTGCTGGACAAATAGCATTTAATCAGACTTAATTTTTTAGTCAGAAGTCAGGAATAAGCCTGGAAATAAGAAAACAAAATTCTGATATTTAAAACAGCTGTTAAAACTGTGGCACATGTGTGTGAGGTAAGAGGATATCACAACACACATGCCATGTGACCCCATGTATTGCATATAGATGCTCATGAAGCATGTTACAGGGATTATTATGAGATATCTATTGTAGGCATAATGCAAGAATTGTCACCAAACATCTGTCTCCACTTTCTGCTTTCTTTATGGTCTGATATGTAAGTGGAATGTCTCATGATTTGTTGTTGCTGGTTACAAACTACAGATCTTTAGAAAACAGTTAAGTCATAGTGATGACTGTGGGTAGAGCTACAGTGAAATTGTGCAGTGTGCTCCATAAGCTGAACTGTATTTTACCTTCCCATGTAAAGTGATAGGCCCTGCATAACCTTTCTCTGTTTACTTCTGAAGATCCCTTTGTAAAGCTAAAAAGCAGAAATGGGTCACAGGAGCAGCAGATGTAGTTGACCATAGAAAGCAAAATATCCCCTACCTTCATCCAATTGTGATGTAAAAAATCTAATTAGGAGAGATTAATTTAATCTGTTAGAGCTGTCTCTGAAAACATGTGGACAGCAAAAAGAGATCCATTTTCTTAAAATAACTTGCCTTAGGATTTCAGAGGTAAAATGCTTGCTTGCTGGATAAAACAATTAAATTATCTGTTTGCCTCACACACTGTGGTAGGGCTTACACCCAGTCTGCAGCTGAGAAGCAGCAGCAGTGCTGGTTTCTCTGCTTTGCCATTAGTCAGAGTTAGCTTCTGTCTGTGGCTTTATGAAGCTTTGTTTCTCTGTCTAGATTGAAGTAGGCTGTGTCTTACCTGTGATATGAACATGTGCTCAACAGAAATTAGATCAAAGCTGCTTAGAAAAGAGGAAGTTGCCATAGAACCATAGAAAAGAATCACTGAGGTTAGAAAGGACCTCCAAGATCAAGCCCAACTATTGACCAAAAACACCACATCAACTAAACTATAGCACTAAGTGCCATGTTCTGTCATTTCTTGTTCCAGGGACAGTGGGACACCACCTCCCTGAGCAACCCTTTCAGTGAAAAAAATTCCTCCTGATGTCCAACCTGAACCTTCCCTGGCACAGCTCGAGGCCATGCTCTCTTGGTTTGCCTGAGAGAAGAGGCCAACCCCTATCTTGCTAAACCCTCCTTGCAGGCAGTTGTGGAGAATGGCAAATTCTCCCCTGAGCCTCCTCCTCTCCAGACTAAACCCCAGCTCCCTCAGCCACTCTTCACAGCACTCGCTCTCCAGCCCCTTCCCCGGCTCCGCTGCCCTTCTGGACGGGCTCCAGCCCCTCGGTGCCTTCCCTGAGGTGATGGCCCCCAGCAGGCACAGCTCTCGAGGTGTGGCCTCACCAGTGCCGAGCAGGGGCACAATCCCTGCCCTGCTCCTGCTGGCCACACTGTTCCTGACACAGGCCAGGATGCCCCTGGCCTTCTTGACCTCCTGGGCACACCTGGCTCGTGTTCAGCAGCTGTCAAGCAGCACTCCCAGGGCTTTTCCCACTGGGCAGCTTTCCAGACACTCTTCCCCCAGTCCGTAGCACTGCCTGGGATTGTTATGACCATTTGGCAAAGGTTGTCACACTAGCCAATCTCCAGTCATCTGAGACGTCCCTAGTTTATCAGGATGGATGAGAAATGATGGAGGTGAGCTGTTGGTGAGCCCTTTTGCCAGTTCCTTCAGTACTCCTGAGTGGATCCCCTCTTGCTTCATAGACTTGTGTCTAAGTGGTGCTCACTTGTAAGTGTCTAAGCAGGTCACTAACTATGTCCTAACAGATTGCAGGGGAGATTTTCTGCTCTCCATCCCTGTCTACCAGCTCAGGGGACTGGTTGCCGTGAGGATAACCAATCTTTGTGTTGAAGACTGAGGCAAAGAAGGCATTAAATACCAAGGCTTTTTCCTCATCCTTGGTTACAGTGTTTCTCTCTGCATGCAGTAAAGGATGGAGATTTCCTTTGGGCCTCTTTTTGTTGTTTATGCATTTATAAAAACACTTTTTATTATTTTTCACAGCAGTTGTCAGTTTGAGTTCTAGCTGAGCTTTTGCCATTCTAATTTTCTCTCTATGTGACCTAACATCATCCTTGCACTCTTCCTGAGCTGGCTGCCCCTTCTTCCAAAGGTCATATACTCTCTATTTTACCCTGATTTCCAGTGAAAGTGCCCTGCTCAGCCAAGGCTGGTCCTCTTCCCTGCTGGTTCACCTTTCAGCACATAGGGATGGCTTGATCCTGTGCTTTGTTATCCTTTGTGCCAGAAGCCAGGTTAAAGTGGGTGGTTTAGGTGGCATCTGTGTGCAGGGGCTCAAAGACTCAGCAATGGTGCTGGGGAAGAAGCAGAGTGTAGTGTTCTGCTGTTGGAGCTGCAGTGGGCTCAGGAAAATCTAGAGGGTGTTAAATTCAGTGAAGCAGTTTTGTGGAGGATTTTCAAAGGTGTCCCCAAAGCCCTGTGAAGGGGAAAGAAAAAGGCAAGCCCTGCCACATGCTTTTAAAATTTTTTTTTAATAATGAAGGCTGGATTGTCATTCAGCTTCTACTTGGAAGAACAATCACAGGGAAACTGTGATAGTGTTTGTACAGAGTCATCACCCAGCATGAGCACTGGTAGGAGGTTTTGCTGCATTGCTGTTTCAGATGCCCTTTACAGATGAAAATCTGTAGGGAATTCAGCATTCACTCAGTTCTTAAATGTAGTGGTCTTTTTCTGATTTTAGGAGAAGTGTTGTTATATATGTAAATGAACTTCTTTTTTGGAAATTGAATTTCTTTCAGTGCCTACTCTCTTTCTGATTGCAGCCATCCCAAGTCAACACTGATTTTATGAGCAGGGTGCTGCCTGTAAAGAGTGAAGATAGATCTCCACCATGACTAATCACTCCAGAAGTTCATGTACCTCCTCAGACCAAGTGGAGTTCTCCACACATTATTACTAAGTACTACTCTTTATCATGGTTCTACTGTGCTTTTTTGTTAGTGTTTTGCTCTACTTAAAGTAGTAAAAAAATTTTTGTTGTGATAAATGATGCAACAATTAACTGCCTTCATTACATGCAAGTCCAAGTTAATAGCCAGATTCAATGTTCATTACTTTTTTTGTTCTGAAGAGATGTTCTTCCTCTCTACTGCTTTTCAGTGCTGATAAATGTGTCACAGGAAGTAGCCTCTAAACAAAGGAAACTCACAATTTTTCATGCATGATAGTGTATCAAGTGCAAAATTAAATGGTGCAGACAATGAAAGGAACCGATCTCTGTGATAGCATAATCTTAAAATAAGAAGAGAAAGCTGTTATTTTGCTCTAAGGTCTGTTTCTGATGTCAGCTGAGAAATGGCAATGCATTGTTTGCCACAGGTTAACCAGAAGTACTGATGCAGAAGAATGAACTTTTTTAGGCAAGTCAGACTTCTACTCTGGAAGAACTGGATCCTTCGGAAAAGACAAAAGGTAAAGTATTAGTCTTTGGATTTCAGGTTTGAACCATGCACTCCACTGGATTAAGTGACTGGTACATTTATCAGCATGTAAAACTTTCAAGACCCTCAAAGAATCACATGTGATCTTTGTAGGGGCCTGTTGTCTGGCATCTTGTCTGGTGCAGTGTGCAAAGCTGCTCTTTACAGAACATAGAATAGTTGTGTTGGGATTTTCTTTAACAAATGATATTTTGTACCACAAGTAGTGGTTACTAATAATTATATATTTTCACATTCAAAGATCTGTTGTTAGAAAACATAATGAGCATCATTCAGCTCAGGAGGGTTTGATTCCTAATTTTAGGTTTGCTTTTCACACTTAGCTGTTCTTAGATGTGGTTCTAGTTAGGACCTTACAGTTCACACAGATTGTCTTTTTTAATATGACTGAATGACATAAGTAAAGCAAAAGCCAGAAGTATTTTAAATACTTACAAATACCTCGTAGATATTATGATATTCGTCTTACAGCAAGACTTCATTGCAGAGTCAACAGTTGATCCATAGCCAATTTAAGCTTCTCGCATTTATATGGTCTTATAATTGTGCTTGCTCCATTACAGCTCTGTCTGGATATTACATTTCTCTGTGCATGTTGCTGGGATTTCTGGCTGTTTATTATGTGGTTCTGTAGGATCATGGGCTGCTTTCTGATACTTCTGGTGAATTTTGAGACACCTTTTTGTCCTTTGGATAAGGCCCACAGGAAAAAGTCAGAGATCTGACAGCACTGGTCTATCCTTAGCACACAACACATTGTGTACCAAGTTGAAAGAAAGCTTCCCTTGAGCTTCAGACTTCAATCTTTTCCAAACTAGTTAACTCAGACAGAAAGGAGCTACCAAATTCAAGTCTGAGGATTTTGTATATCCTAGGGATGAAGAATCAACATCTGAGCATTAGCACATATTAACTCTGCAGCAAAGGTGGACCAAGGAGTCTCACCAGTTCTTGCCCCTCTGTGTTTGAGTGTTTAGTGCTTGTCCCAAATGGGTGGCAAGGGATGTTGATCAGACCTTGTGGATCCTGCTGGGAATGGTATTCTGAGCTGTGCACAACAGCTGTCAGGTTTCCCTCTCTAATAAGTGTGTCATTTGCCCTTTGCTGCTGGTAAGAGTTTGTGTGCTTTTAAAAAGATCAGGCATGCATAACTTCCTAGGTGGTGGTGGGTGGGTTTTTTGTTATTGTTCTGTTTTAGAAAGGAAACCCTGAAGAGGAAAACTATGAAACAGAAAATTGTTGCCTGGTGTAAAGCTTTCTGTCCTTTTGCTGTAAGAATATGTTGTGCTTAACTAAAGCTGTTAGACAAAATTACAGTGGAAAAACAGGGCAGCTCCAAAAACCTGTTCTTAATTTTGCTGTGGAGTGCCTTTTGCCCAAAACAACATTCACGTGTAACCCATCTTGTCTTTGGCTCTGCTGCTATGTGCATTATTCTTACGTGTTTGGTACCTGGTTGGGGAGGAGGGAGCAAAGGTAAATAAACCCTGGTTCTGAAGATATTTTGTCCTGGCTGTTACAGGGAGGAGCAAAAAAGTGCCTATGTGTCTGGACACAAAAATCCCCTTGCTGCTCCTCAGAGCCCAAGGCCTGTGTTACAGGATCAAAGGACTGTAGTTTCAAACCTCTGCCAAAACACACAGAGGCAGTAAAACAAACTGAAACACAGGAGTGGAGGAAACAGACTCAAAACCGGGCAGGATGTTGCTCTGTGGTAAAGCAGTGCCCTTGATTTTCTGACATGACACGGGAGCCAGTGACTCTTCTAAGTATATTGAAAGGTCTGAGCAATAAAGTGGCCTTTGATGGGGTCTTCTGTGTTATTAAATAAGGTGTTTGATCTTAATACATACATTTCTACAGGTGTTAGGAAATTAATAGCATTGAAATGAATAATGACAAAAAGAAGCAAAAGTAAAGGTCAAAGTATATAAAGCTTATGCTGAAGTCTTTTACTTTTGGGTAAGCACAGTGTACAGTGACAGCCTGCTAATGAGCCCAGCAGTGTCAAAGTGTGGATTAAAAGAATCCTTTTGTCTCTTGTATCTAATCCTTGTTGTAGAGTCATGCACTACCTCCTGCTTCTTTCTACCTCAGTCAGGATGTTTAGATATTTCTTTACAAGAGGTGGAGAAGCTACTGAGCACTGAGTTGATGGTGATGCTTTGTGGCATTCTGATGAAATCCTCTGTTGGGTTTCCTTCTGAAATGGTGTAACAGGCAACGGATAGCCATGGGCACGTGCTGCACTGGGCTTTTCTGCTGTGAGAGGAGGTCTTATGCCTCTAGCCATCTAGGACTCTCTGGTGATCTATTTGAAAAATTTATTTTTAATTTACTTTTTTCCCTTTTTTCCAGCTTCGTTTTCTAGTGGAGCTTTTATGGCCTCTGTCATTGTTTCTTGCGCTTGTCTGGCTGAGGAAAGCCAATCCACCGTATCGCCAACATGAATGTAAGAACTTTTCAGATGTTACCATGACCTGACTTGTTAGAGGTAATGGCCAGGTGTTCTCAGACAGAGGTATTGGGACCTGTTTGTGGAGCATTATTGTCCAGTGGTGAAAGAACAGAGTTTAGTTCAAGTAGCTTAGTTATTTGTAGCCATGTAGTATAAGACCTAGCAGTGAATACTTAGAAAAAATGTCTAGTTTTCCTGTGAGATGCTTTCTGGTCAGACTTACCTGGGGTCTCAAGGTGCTATCTGGTTTTGGATTTCCATAATTCTGTTGCTGAGAAAGTACTACCTCACTACCTATTTAAAAAGGCCTTCACATTACTCAGGATTAGTTTCTGTTGAAAATAGCCATATTGCTTATATTGGGGACTTCTTTTTTCTCAGTTAAGGATAAACCTATGTGATTCCTATCACATTCCTTCTGTAGAGAGCCAACTCATCATGCTATTTATATTCACAAAGGCTGCATTAGAAAAGACACCTAACAATTTCTATTTTGTGTTTTGACTCTAGGTCACTTCCCAAACAAGGCAATGCCATCAGCAGGAACGCTGCCATGGTTACATGGCATCTTCTGTAACATGAACAATCCCTGTTTCCGCAGCCCAACCCATGGAGAGGGTCCAGGTGTAGTGTCCAACTACAAAAATTCCATGTAAGCAGAGCTGTATGTGTGAGACTGGTTTGCAGCAATACAGGCCTGCTAGGGAACTGCTAATAGCTTGCTGTGGGCACCTGTTGGGCATTCGTGGGCATGAATGATGCAGGGAGAAAGGCTGGAGTACCCTCACCCTGCTTAGAAAGGTCTCTCACCGCACCAAGGAATATTTTAAAGAATTGTTCTGTGATTTGAATGAATAGGGAACGTAATAATACACCAGTGTGCAAACAGTGGAAGACAAAAATTTTCAGTTCTAGCACTTTGGTTTCATGCTAACAGTGGTAAACAGAGTTGAAACAGAACTCACAATGGTAGTTTTAGGCCTTTTAGAGAGGGACTTCAGTGCAAGTCTCCAGGGAACACATTTTAATTTAATAAAATCTGTAAGAACCTGCTTACTGAATGTCTTGGGACAAACCTTTTTGATAAAAGAGCATGGAATACCTAAGCCTTCTTTTCTCATCACTAGAGTTGTCCCTTCTGAATGAGTGCTCTGATGAAGTAGCAGCAAATAACCTGCACTGCCACTTCTTATGTAGGACCTATTTTGGCTTGTGAGACTTTAATCAGCACATAAACTTCAGATACTAAGCTTGTTTGCAAAATAGGAGGATGGGAGATTTCCAGGCTATTACTGAAAAAGGGCTGTGGGAGTGTTTTATTGCATTATTCATTACAGCTGAGTCATGAAAGAAAGTATAGCAGACAAGGACCCTTAGAGTGAAAAAAACCCTGTCAACCTAAATATAAAAAATGCTCCAAATCTCCCTGTTGCAAAGTCCACTTTGGAGCATCCAGTGATTAAAATTCATGAGCTAATAATGAAGTCCCTGTCTTGTGAAAGTCTGTAATGTGGACTTACCATTTGACCTTTTGTTCCTAGTGAACAGGATTTAAAATAGTCAGCTGACCATTTTTGGTGGAGTACAGTCAGACACACAGTGATGCTAGGGGGTTGTGATTTCTGTACATTCTAGCTTTTCTAGGTTGCTTGTTAAAGAGCAAACTGTCACTTTGTCAGTCCCAGTAAATACACTGCACTACAGCAGAAGTAAATTCATTGTGTTCTCTGAAATAATTTGGTCCTTCCTGTTTGTTGTTTCCTGTAAGCTAAAGTGAGTCATGTGGACTGAGATAGACTATTGCATGCATGGAAACACATAACACTGTTAAAGAAGTGTAATGGCCTTACCTGATAGTAAGAATTTATTATGCTTGTTCATAAACAGAAGGATCTGGTTGCATCCTTGCTTGATCTGCATGTTCTAACCCAGAACCAGTAGTTGAACAGCTGCCTGTGGCTATTTGTTACTTATGTTTTCCTGCCCCTCCTAGAAGAAATACTCTGAAGGGACCTAATAAATTGGAGGGGACTGGTGTGTGAGGGGAAGGATGTTTCTGTTTGTGAATGATTCCATGTCACTTGCTAGGCTGAGCATGTGCCCAGAGTGCCCCATTCAACTGCTGGAGCTGGGCCTGGGGTAGAACCAGGGCAGATTTGCGCTCTAACTGTGAGATACAAGTTGTCTGGGGAAGGTCCTGTATCCCCAGAAGGACCAGTATTGCTAATGAAAAAAATGTATGAATGGCCAAACTTCTGCAACACCAGTCACCCTCATAAAACTTCTGTGGACTTTCAAATCTAACTGAACCCCAGACTACCTGAAACTGAGGACAAAACAACTTTTTTTTTTTCCTCATCCCTAATGCAGACTTTCTTTCAGAATTTTTCTTTTCTTTTCTTTTCTTTTCTTTTCTTTTCTTTTCTTTTCTTTTCTTTTCTTTTCTTTTCTCTTGAAAGGTTCTCAAGAGTCATCACTCTTAAATTAGTGTTTCTTCATTATTTCTCCTTTCAGCCTTGCAAGGGTATATAAAGATGCTCAGGAGCTTTTACTTGAAACTCCTGAAATCCATGACCTTGGAAGAATCTGGGAAGAGCTGATCATTATGACTCAGTTTATGGAAACAATGAGAACTAATCCTGAAAGAATTGCAGGTAATTGTTGTGTCTATATCCTTTAGACTATTTAATCTTTCCTTCTGAGAGTTGGACAGTAGTTACTTTGGAGGCTGGCAGCATTATAGTATATTTCACTTGTAGCTGCTCTGCTTAGTGTTAGGGTAAGTTAAAATCTGTTCAGTGACAAACACCTGTCATTTAAGGGAAAGGAGAGAGGCAGTCATCTCTGTTCTGCAACCATCTTCCTTAAATAACAGTAGACAAAACTCAAAAAGCCTAGATATCTCACCACACAAAGTAAAACATGGCTTAAGAAATGTCATTAATTATTATTAAAGTAAAAGCAGAAGCAGTCAGAAAGTTCACTGGAAGATGCAGAGGAATGGAAAATTAGGAACATATCTGAATATGTGCCAGGAGCATAACCCAGAGAAGTGCTTAGAGGTACTTTGCCACAATCTTAGCTAAAACAGGTTTGAAACAATGAAGAAGGAAACTCTTCATGATATGTTGAGAAAGAGAAAGCATTGAACACATATAAACAATTGCAAATTCATTGCAACTTTTATTTAAAGCAACTTGCCAAACTCAAAACACAGTCCAGGAGAAAATAGGGAATGGTATAATTGTAAATTTTTTTGACTTAAAGTATGGAATTTGGAAAGGTACTCCTAAACTGAAGATATAAAAATTGTCTGGCTTTGTGAATTGATCTGTCCCATTCTCAAATCCTTTGCCACAGGAATAGCATTCTTATTAAAATTAGTCTCTCTCCATATATTTTTAACAGGATGTGTATAAACCATCTGATGCACATGGTCCACTGTTCTTTCAGAGGTTTATAATAGAAGTAAAAAGGGGATTATCTCCTTGTAAATAACAGGGAGACAACCAAATGCCCCAGAATGTAAACAAGAACCTGAGTATAATCTGAGCTGTTGTTTGTACCCAGCCATAGAAATCAAGCATGACTATTCAGAGGGGAGGAAAAGCATGTCATGCCATGGGTTTGCTATGTACTGCTAAGGGGCCACACCCCGTGGTTTAGGAAGTTGCCTTTGCATCCTATATCAACTTTATTCATGAAATATAGAGTACATTCCCACAAATCCTGTACCATATAATGTTAATGCTTCTTCACAATCTGTGGAGGTTTTAAATGTGTTTTACATTTTTTAAAAAATAGAAGTTTGGAATTTCCTATTATATAAAACAGTAAAAAAGTCAGTTCTGAAGCTTGACTAATAAAATATGAATTACCATCTTTCTTCATACACAAAAGTTACTGAAAGATTGGCTATTTAAGTTGTCTGTGTTTATAGCTTACTACTATCACTTTTAAGTAACAATCTTAATCAAATAGCTGCAAAGTTGAGCAAGGAGAAACTTGTGAATGTCAGAGTTGTGATTGAGACTTCTTCTGATTCCTGAAATCAGACCTGCCTCTTGAGTCCTCCTTCCTTGTCCCAGTCTCCTTTTGCACTGACACTTTTGATGAGATGTTTTCTTGTGGTGTTCTTTTTCCTCCACACTGCCTGGATGCCAGGAAAGGCATCAGTAAGAATATGAGGGACAGACCCCTGCTATTGTTTTCAGTGTTTACTGCTTGAATAAATATGTGGAGAAACAATTGAAGAATTTCTCAGACCCTGTAGCTTCAGGCCAGAATATGCTTAGTGCAGATGGAATTGTGGAAGTTAGTTGGCAAACTCTGATAAGACTCAGCTCACAGAATGGAGTGCATGTTTATTAGAAATGTCTCAAGTTACATTCCCTATGTCAGTAGGATACACACTGCTCCTGTCAGTTTCAATTGCCTGTTCTAAAGACTAGAAGAATTAGAGCTATTCAAGCATTCTTTACCAAAGTCTGTGGATGCTGTGTGAGGTACCTTTAATAAAGCTATAATTCAATAAAGTTATAATAAATATTCGATGAACATGAGCAACATAAATTTTCCAAGCTTTTCTCTCGTAGCATGCTGAGGCAGAGTTCTCACTGATAAGATCTGTAACAGATACAAGCTTTAAAAGCTTGGAACTGTTTGACTTTAGGAGCAGCAGTATTTTGGGTATTGTTACAGGCAGTAGCAGGGAAATTGGTGGCCTCTTACATGTGTCTAATTTAACAGTGGGTGGTCTCACTGGTTTGCTTGAAGAGTAGTTGTTAATCTAGTTTAATATGAAGCATAAGCTACACATCATGCTTCTCCAAAGAAATTGAGTTTTTTCTCACGGAAGATTTTCAAGGGTCACTTTTGCAAAGCTAGAGAATAAGGTTAAAGAACTAAAATTGATTGACAAGAAGTGATAAATTAGTGTAAATGTAAAGGATTGGCTGAAGTTATTTGCACAAGAACACAGAAAGGACACTAAGAACAGTAGCATATTTGAATCTGAACCTTTAAAATAAACCATTACATCAGAAAAAATCAGACACTTACAAATGCAGTCAGGGCTGCTTTCAATGTGTCCATTGCTATAGCCCTAGTCTGAAACATCTTTGAGAGATCAGATATGCAGAGCCAGAACACTCAGCATTTTCTGATTATCATTTCCCAACAAAGGATTAAAATGATTTTGAATTGCAAAAATAATTTTAGCCCCAGTTAGTCACGACTAGGTATAAGAGCCAAAGCACATTCTTTTTGCAGGTTTAAGCCAGGATATGAGCTGTTCTTTAACTTCCTTTGTTTGGTATCTCACTGATCTGTGCATTCCTTTTTCATCCAGGAAGAGGAATACGAATTCTAGACATTTTGAAAGATGGGGAGACGCTCACTTCCTTCTTGCTAGAAAATGTTGGCCTCACAGATTTTGTTGTTTACCAGCTTATTAATGCTCAAGTGCGCCCTGAACAGGTGGGTAGAGTTTAACAGCTACTGGGTGGTTATCTGTGAGGAACCAATCTCCTGGCTGTATGTGCAAAGTAGCCTCAGTGAAGGCTTTGGGCCCAGAATAACTGATGCCTTGTGGGTCATTTGTACAATTTCTACTCCTTTTGGGTCTTTTTTTGAATTTCTCTTTTTTTCTTTTTTTTTTTTTTTTTTTGTGAATCTAGAGGAAGAGATGTTTGATTTGTCTTTAAAAAACATTTTGAGTATACATTAAATATTAATAAATCAAATATTAATAAATAATTAAATAAACAGAAAAATCCTGTTGTTGCACCCAAATAATGAGCATCAAGAAACAGTACTAGCAAGTACTGAAGACTGAAGACTTGACACAAAAACATAAGGAAGCTGTGTATCCTTTTGAGATAATAGTCCTGATGAGAGAAGAACTATTGGAAGTTCTTAGTTTATAATTTAAATTCTCTGCCCCAATGTCAGCATGGTAGCTTTTTGGTATTGTCTCACAAGAATAGGTGGAAGTGGAGAAGTAGACTCACTTTCTTAGATTCTGATTGAATAATAGATCTGCTCAGAAAATCCAGAGTGAAAAGTGCAGGTCAAATCCCTCCTGAAGCAGCTAAGCAGGGAACTATGTTTGACCAAGCCCAGTCTCTGCTTCTGCATGTACATGCTGTATACGCTTCTGCATGGTGGCTGAGAGCTCTCTGAGGAGTGCTATATTAATGAATGAATGTTGCTGAATTGCAGTTCTGGAACAGCTTCTATACTGCATTAGTGTGGGTGGAAGTAAGTGAATAATTGAGCCTGAAAGACACAATTCTTCTGTTTCACTGCCACATAAAATGCAAATTCTGAAATTGTGTGTGTGCAGAAAGAAGGAGGGCATTCATGACCTTTCATGCAGTTCTTTTCGTGCATCACAGGTTCCAGCTGGTGTGATCAGTAGCCAGATTACTTGTTTGCTGTATTCTTGATTGGTACCTGGGAAAGCCCTCCACTGTCCTCACTTTATCATGAAGCAATATCACAAGATCATACCAAAGCCAGTGTAAATTGATACATCCTATGCATTTTCACACTTCCCTGTCAGCTGAGATGTTGAAAATTTGCTTCCTTGCTGCTTGTGACAAGGAGAATATGTACAGATATCCTGCTGGGTTTCTCTTTCCCTATTAATCCCACACCTCTTCTGCACCTGTCTGCTGTGTCAGGAGAACTGAGTGCTGCTCTGTTAGACTCTATTAGCTCCCCAGTGGCATTCATTCATCTACTGCTAAAAATTCTGCTTGCCAGTGTATGCAGGACTGAAGTTTTGAACAGCATCGCAAAAAAAAGTTATTGAAGCCTGCTGGAATGTGGTGTCTTTCTGCTGTGTTTTCTGTGCTGATGTAGAAAGAGATGTAGTTCTCTTTATGCTGGAAATTAAAGAAATTAAGCATTGGTTAGAGGAAGCTGGAGGAGATCTGGTGTTAAATACCACTTTTGCTCTCCTCTGTGCAGTTTCCTTGTTAGCAGTAATTACACAGATACAGGATCAGCTTACCAGAGCTGATTTACAGCTATGAGGAAAGAAAGTGCTGTGAATACTTCTTTCATGTGAAAATGGTGCAGAAAAACCAATCTCATAAGGTTAAAGACACAGCAAGAGAATTATTTTCAGTAGGAATTGAACACTGCATTTTCTGTGGGAGATATAATTTGCTTCATTCCAATAGCCCTTCTTGATCAGCAAGTTGCTTGGGTTGGACTTATGCATGGTTGAGGTGGAAGTTTCAGAGCCATGACTAGACCCTAGATCTATGGCTGTCTTAATCCTCAGCCGTGATAGTTCATCTACAGTTCTTCCTGCTGCTCTGCCCTCTGTTAGCCTGCTTATTTCTGTACACCCCTTCCCCCTGCTGCTGATGGCACCGAGCTGATCAACCTGAAAGCTACTTGTTTACAAAAGCCTGACTGTTGCCAACAGCTGGCTGGAGATCTAGGTCTGAGCCGCCTGGGAGTCAGGAAATGACACACAGAGCTGAAAGCTAAACCTGATCAAACAGCCAACTAGCTGAAAAAATAATTTGGGCTTCATCTTGCCAGCTTTGGCAAAACAGTGACACATTGATTAAAAAAAAAAAGTATTGAAGTTTCCCTCTGAGGGCCTGCTTTTTTGAGTCATTCTAAGATAAAGATAAGAAACTGATGTTAAAACACAATAAGAAGTTCAGGAAAGATTGGCAGCAGCACAGCCTACAGGAAAAACTAGAAGGGCGGAGGTTTGATGTTTTTCTAATCCCATCTGTTCATGAACATTATTGAAAAGCAGTTACAGTTTGTAAATAACAACTCTTTTTTTTTAATGTGTTTGTTCTTCTTAGTGATGTTAATGTCATGTTTCCTCATTTCACAAGTCAAATCAAGGTTCCCAGGCTGCCTCCCTGTGCAGCCCAGTTTCATTGCAGTTGACACTGCCTAATGAGGACCACACCAAATGAGGCGTGTATGGTTAAAAAATGCTGTTCTTACCACACACATCCCCAGGACATAAGTGACCCAGCAAATATACAAATTATTTCACTGACATAAATTAACGTAATTCCAATTCAAATGTTGCAATTTTAGGGAGGGCAGGGTTGTGTGGTTTTGGAGGTTTTTTTTTTGCAAGACAGACTGGATCTGTCAGTTGAATTCCACATCTCTCTGCCATTCATTAAAATATTAGCAGGGGCTGATATCAAACTGTCCGTTTTTGATAAATTTTTAATTGTTCCTGAGCAGTATTCAAGTTTCATAATAGTAAGTAAAACATTGGTTTTGCTTGCAGTTTGCCTATGGTGTCCCTAGCTTGACTCTGAAGGACATTGCTTGCAGTGAGGTGCTCCTGGACCGCTTTATTATCTTCAGCAGCCGAAGAGGTCTCCCTTCTGTACACAAGGCCATGTGTGCCCTGTCCCAGGACAGTCTACAAAGAGTAGAAGATGCCTTGTATGCAAATGTTGATTTCTTCAAGCTATTTCGGCTGGTAAGTATTGACACAATTAACCCTGCCTTATGCTGTTTTTTTTTTTTTTTTTTTTTTTTTTTTTTTTTTTTTTTTTGCTTATATTTCATTACCCTTCAAGAATTTTTTTTTGTAATAAATCACCAATTGTCCAAGTGGTCTTAGTTTATTTACCCCTGCAAGTGTAAGGCTATGGATGTGTGATTGTTAACCTACCACCAGCAGGACACCAGATAGTTCTGAGTATGTTTTGGAATGAAACAGATGAAATTCACAGTACAGCAGAACTAAGAGATTCAAATGCAGTTTTAAAATTAAAGCTTGTGTTGAAATATTATCTGGTCTTTCCAGTCTGTGTAGCAAAACAGTGCATGGAAAACCTACAGGGAATCATGAGGATTCTGAAAATACTAAGTACAGCCCATTCTGTCTTTGCTCCATCCAGCATGACAGAATTTTACACTGCAGTCAGTCATGATGCAGCTTGAACTGGTGTAGCCATGTGAACTGTTTTTAAAAAACCCAAACCAACCAAACTAGCAAGTAGTTCTGGCTTTCATCACTCTTTCTATAGAAGCTTTTCCTTACTTCTGTTCATTTTCTTTGCCCTTCTTTGTGTTCTTTGTGTTCTACTGTGACCTTGCTATGAATTAACCACTTCTGCAGCCTTGGTTTAGTATGGAGATATTATGCCACTCAGATATGTATGTATAAACAGAGATTAATATTATTACTTTAAAATATATAATAAAATACAAATTATATCAAATAAATAATTATAAAATGGCATATTTTTCTAGTATTTCATGTGTATTCTGCACACTGAGGTGATGCTTTCAGAAAACTATTAATAAAGACTCCAAGGTCTCTTTCCTCATGATAGCAAAGTTAAATGTCTATCACTGTGCATATATCTTTCATGTTTGTTTTCCCTGTGATCATGCTTTTCATTTTTCAACACTGAATTTTAATTTGCTGGTTTTTACCTTGTAATATAATGTCATGAAACCATCACATTGTCAGTTTGCTTTAAAGGAGCAGGCAGGATATATGAAAAAGTTGCATAGGAAGTATTGGTCAGACTCTTCTGCCACAGCAGTGTAGCACTGTGATTAATTTAACACGGATTTTGTTCAGATCTGAGTTTCCCAGAACTGGGAACAGAGGATGCCAGGAGCTGCAATTGACACACCAGCAAAACACTGTTTGATTATTGTAGCATTGATAGTCATTGTGCCCATGTGATTTTACCAGCCCTGATTTGTGGCCAGCGTCTGAGAGATGCTGTTTTCCATTCCTAAAATATATCGTCTTATGTTTTCATATATCTTATGCTTGCTGGAAGTAGCAGAGAATTAATACTACAGTATTTCTAAAATAGATTTTCAGTATTTGAGGACTTAAGTGAATATTCACAATGTACTGCCCAGCTTTTTTTACAGGTTTACAATTCCTGTTCTTCCTCAGAATTTCAAAAAGACCAGGTTGAGGCAGGTGCTCCAAGAACCCTGTACAGTCTTTGCACAGACTGGTTCCCCTTAGAGGACATGGAAAAGTGTATTTTGAAGCCCTGCATGTATTCTTCCTGCCTGAATGTCAAGTGACAGATCAGAACACGCTAACACGAGCTTTCCATAAAAGCTCTAGCCTTTGTGGCTCCCTGCCAGGTACCTACACAGTGCAGCTGTCTTCTGCTTTCTTAACCACCTACTGACTTAAGGGAATGGTAGGCATTCAGCAGGGTGTGCAGGCATTTTTGAGGAAGGCTTTTTAGGGGCTTGTCTCATAGATATCACAGTCTAGCTATCTACAAGTCCAGCTTTGTATTTTATTGTAATAGCAGAAGAAATGTCTGAGAAAGCCTCAAGAGTTCCAAGTGCATATGTCATTCTTTAGACAGCTGACAGAGAAGGATGCAGTGATGCAAACAAAGTGGTATGTGACAGCATACAATGGTGTCACCTCTTTCTCTTAAGTCACTGATAAATAAAATGTTAACCTCTACTGAAAAGGCAGTTTGTTCAGTCTGCAGAAGCCTGGGAAAGTAATGGTTTCTCTCAGGTCTGATAAACAGTGAGAACCACACTGTCCAAAATCAGGAATTTTCTGAAGTATAAAGTTTTCTACAAATTATTTACCTCCATGGCAAATGGGGCTTCTGTATCAAACCTTAGCTAAATTTGGAAGTTACCAAGAGTCTGTATATCTCACTCAAAGAATAGTGTCTGTAAGAAGTAGCTTCTCAAATGTCCCAGTTCCTGCATACCTCCTCCATTTTTGCACCTTTTGTCATGGTGGGCTTAAATTAACAGAGCAAATCCCAAGATATATTTTAAGTGGCTTGTGTTTGTTTCAGCCTGGTATTAGAAAGAACATTTACACAGACATCTGTGTGTCTGCATATGAGTACTGGATTTGTGACCCCATAAGACAGGCTTATAAGATATTTTTCCAAATAACTCAAAGAATGTGAGCTACAGAGATGCCATTTGGATTTTCTTTTCATTGTTTTAACTGTTTTAATGTAGAAGGTTTTCCCTATTTTTTATGTATTCACAGCTTCCCACTGTGTTGGACAGAAACTCACCAGGTGCTGACCTGAAGGCCTGGGGGAGGGTGCTGTCTAATGTCTCCCAAGCAGTGCAAAAGGTAAGTGGTCTAATAATAGATTACATCACTTTTCTGCATAGCTCATAGTCCTTTTTGTCCTTTGTTGTTTTTATGTTCCAGTTACCTGCTTTACCAGAAGGAAAATAGACTTGTTGGGGAAGAGTTGATTCCTTAAAAATTCATTCTTCTCTCATTAAAAAATAATGTAGTCGTAAGCATTGGCAATTCTGAAGTGTATTCTTTTCTTCAGAAAAGATATGAAAGAACAAGAACTGAAAATGGTGCCTGTGACAGGGCTGAGGAGATGAAAGGATGAGGTTCTGACTGCATTCACATTTTACCATCTGGGCACAACTGCGACCTCACCAGATGCTTACTTGCTTTGAGGGCTGCAATTAACCAAGTCTTGTCTTTCTGCAGCTGGCCAGGAAGCCAAGTGTTCAGGACCTTTTGAGGGTTCTGCAACCATTTCTACAAGATGGAAGGCCAGAATCCTTAGGCCACTTGGTGAGTTCCCTGTCGGATCTTTTCTGTGGCTACCCAGAAGGAGGTGGATCCAGAGTGCTTTCCTTCAACTGGTATGAAGATAACAACTACAAAGCTTTCCTGGGGATTGACTCAACAAGGAAGAAATCTGGTTATCTTTATGATAATACAACCAGTAAGTTTTTCCACCAAACCATTAAGAAATTCTCAACAGGTGCACCCTATGTTCAAGTACTAGCATAAAATGTTGCTTTTATAAATAACATTTTAAAGCAGTTGATTTAGGAAATTAGACCCAGTTGAAATTATTTTACTCCATACTTACTTCATAGCTGGAAGCAGAGAAGCCCAGGACTTGACAACTGACAGAAATACCCATTTGCTTTTAATATGGAGGCATAATCATAGGCATGATCATAATTAAGACTGTTCCTCTGTTTTATCTTCTATTATATGCTACTGATATCAGGAAGATACCCCTGAAGAAGCTTCAGGAAAAGACAGTATGGCATTCTGGAATTACTTTTCTCCAAAGTAATTTCCTAAACTTTATTTTTTCTCATAACTTGTTTGATGGCCTGTGGCACAGGAATTTAACAGTCTCTCCTTTCCAATAATAGTCAATTTGATACATGGTGGCTGTTAGCTTCCTGCATAAAACTACATCTATTTTGTAGCAGTAATGTTCTACAGCATGATTACATTTTACCAAGAAAATATTTCAGTTTACCAATTTTTGTTGCTTTTATTTCCTCACTATTTATTTCCTCCTGTTGTAATAGGAAATAATGCAAACAAGAGCCACTTTTTTACCATTTGTTATTTTGTCTTTTTATTATGTCCCCTTCAGTTTGCTACTACTGAGCTCACCAGCAGTTTTTTCTGTACTACCACTCATGTTATAGCTGGTGGTTCTGTGTCCCTTCTGCTATGAAGTATATGATTGCATGGTGACAAAGTACAGATGGGCAGTTTGCTTACAGAGACTCCTACCTTTCACTGTTTGTGTTAATACTTGGCTCTACTTATATCTGAGACTTCCAAAGAGGCCCAGTACTCCATCTCTTCAATCAGGAAACAAATTAATTGAATGCTGTCCAAGTAAACTAATTACTTCATAGTGCAGGGGTAAGATAAAAATATTTACATTAAAATGTTTAATTTTAAATTATTGTAGGATCCAATTCTGAACTGTTCCGGAGCTCAACATCTAAGCCCACAGCATCAGCTTTGTATTATTATCAGCTACAATACAAAGGAGCTAAGTCATTAGGAGTAAAGCAAATAAAGCTCAAACTGCTCAGTGAGTTCTGAGCTGTCTCGTTTCCTTCCATATGAAATACCATGTAAATAACAGCAAATTTCAAATGGCTATTTATGTTTGCTTTTCCAATTTACATAGCACATTTTACAACTCCAATATCTACTTAATAGTCTTGCTGTTCATTCAGTCATTGTACTTCTGCATTGCAGAATGTGCTTTTATTCATTCAGATTCAAACTGTCTGTATTGCCACTAAAAAGCCCTGCAGGATGTTATGTGTGATAGGATTTTAGTAGGGTTACATAAAGACTGTCTTTCTTTCTGTCTTTAGCACCCTTTTGTAATGCATTGATCCAGAACTTGGAATCAAACCCTTTAACCAAAATAGCCTGGCATGCTGTGAAGCCCCTGCTGATGGGAAAAATTCTCTTTGCTCCTGATTCACCTCCTGTACGGGAAATTGTAAAAAATGTAAGTTCTGAAATACAAAAATGTATATTTCTAAAAATTGTATGCTAAGAAACATCTTTTGAAAAACAGTCACCAGTGACAGTCGGCCTAATCAGATTTTCTTCTCAAAACTCCATTTGTTCTGATGGTCCTCAGAGGAAGGACAGGTACTCTGTTTAAAGAACAGGAGATAGGTCTTCACTGATTCATCCCATCTTGGTGCATGCTACATGGTTTTTCCAGCTCACCCAAGCAGCATTTTGTTGGCACGATTCCACATTTACACTAGTAAGCATAGTAATATTTATTTTACAGAGGTAGGAACATGAGCAGCTCTGTGCCAGTAACTATTTAAATGAAGCAGCTGTGAGACTTAGATAAGCTTATTGAGAACTAACACTGAGATATTGCAAACCAATAGCAACATCATGGTTTATTATTTTATCTTTTGAATGCATAAAGAATTTTCATTAAAATAGGATGGAACTTGGACTCTTCAGCAAAATGCTTGAAGTTGGGTGAAATTAATCTGAGCAGTTAAATCAAGGTTGCGTATGACCCAGATTTTGGCCAGCTCATAACCAGCAATTCACTACTCTAGAGGTCTGTACAAGGCACAGAACTACTGCTCAGATTTCACACAGAAAAACATCAGATTTACAGCAGCTCAGCATTTCAGGTCTTAATAGCATGGCTGTGGGAGTATCTGTCTTTTCCAGCTGCCTTCCATTCATTCATCTACTCACATCATCATCTTCCTTTTTAGTTCTTAATGGAGAGAGAAAGTCAAGGGGAAAATTCTAAATATTTCTACCAAAAATCTGAGTATTTAAAGGAATTGTAATTAATTAGGCTTAATGTGCAATTGTTTTTTCCATTACATATACCATAGAATTTTATCCTAAGTGATTTTGATTCTGGCTGGATTTTACAGATTCTTTTTCTGATGATTATTAAAATTTCTGCTATTTGAACAAGTTGGATAAGTTTTGAAGATAAAAACTACAGCTGTCTAAGTTAGAGGTTCTCCTTTCACCAAATCCTGGATAGATCATAAATTCTGCCTTTCTACTTAGATTTCTAAAATTCTTTTCTGCTGGTTTTTTTTTCATCAGGCGAACTTCACTTTTGAGGAGCTTGAACGCCTCCAGTTGTTGACCAAAGCTTGGGAGGAAGTAGGACCTCAGCTGTGGTACTTCTTTCAAAACAGCCTGCAAATGAATATGATCCGTGTATGTTATAACTTATCAAAGATCCTCAGTAAGAGCAGCCTTTCACCATCTTTTATTTTTATTAATGGAGAAGACAATTAATTTGAAAGATTTGGCCAGAAGCACAGCCTGTGCAGCAAAGAAGCTGTGGCCTTTAAGGCTATTGGCTGCTGGGCTTGGTTTGAAGGCAAGTCATAGATGCCTTACAGCATCCCTGTGGCAAAACCTCAGGTCTGGGCAGTCAAGAATCTGGCTAATGGCTTCTTAATAAAGGCAGCAATTGCTGCTTCCCTGTCTCCCCAAAATGTCTTTCAAGAAAAGGCAACTTGATTTTCTTGAATTCTGTATAGGCAAAGAAGGCAGTAAGACCATACCTTTTCTGGGCCAGACAGAAATTTATTTTGGGAAATTGCTTATTTCTGTATCATTTAGATTTGACTTTGATCAGCTGCAATTACTGTCTGTAGTTGAAGTTTATAAAGCAGTTCATACTAGAAAAAACATTTGGTTTCCTCATTTTTCTATATTGTAGTAGACATTTATAATGTTTATCCTCTTGCTTATAGGGAAAGAATGCAATTAACAGTCAAGGAAAAATTTCTTTTCATCCATTCTTCAGATCACACATGCAGTTATGCAATAACCCATTTGTAAAATTGATTCTTTAGCATACCCTTTTGTCCTTGTTCGTGTGTTGAAAGAGTTATGGAAATGGAAACCTTTCTAGCTAAACAGGGCATGGAAAGACAATCATTGTGGCAAAGCTGTCATATTTTTCTTCAGGACTCTCTGAAACATCCTACAGTGAGGGACTTCCTGAACAGCCAGATGGGTGCAGAAGGCTTCACGGCAGAACATATCATCAACTTTCTGCACAATGGGTCTTCAAGGAGCCGGGAGAAGGGAATGGTGGACTTTGACTGGCGGAACATCTTCAGCGCTGTAGACCAAGTCCTGCGTTTGCTCAGTCAGTATTTGGAGGTAAATGTATCCCTGCCCCCTTCAGGAAATAATTGTAGAGGATATCTTAAAACCAGTTAGGCAGTACTGGGTTCTGTGGTAATAGACGAGAAAGTTAAAATCATAAAATCTTTGTTTGTTTCAAGTTGAATCTCATTATCCAAACCATGTGTTTAGAATAATACAGTGGCACAAGTATATGAATACTTATTAAAAGAAGTTCAATTTGATGGTCTTCAAATGCTTTACTCAAAATGCTGGTTGAATGTCTGAACACACTTCAATGCTAAGAGGAAGAAAGTAAATGCAAAACCTCAAAGAATTGGTTTCTTGAAAGTATTAATAACCAACAGGCCACTAATTTCCTGACCTTTTCACTAAGGTCAGGAGCAGAGGAACTAACAGTTCTTTGGTAAGTCCCTTTGCAGGTTTTTAAGCATCTGATCAAAATTCCATTGAAACCAGTGAGGGAGTTTCCACTTGTTCTGTGGTCACTTCTGACAAGATGTCTGTCTCTTTCCTGCAATCTGTACCTCTCTTCTCTAGCAAGTTGTTTTCAGTGGTGCCTTCTGTGGATTTTTGAGAGAAAATTGGTACCAGTTATAGGCAAGAAGACTAAGCCTAACTCCTAATTTCAATCCAGTTCAGTCTAAAAGACCATTTGTCCCTACCAAGAAGGCAGGAACTGAAAGTTTATCTGCCTTCCTACAGCTAGTACAAGAAGGAAAAATAAAGGCTTTGCACAAAGGTCTTCTGATTCATTTAATGATTTTTGTATCATGTCAGCAGAATTATTTCTTGTCAAACTGAGAGAAATATATTGTGTGCAGCAGGTCAGTGCTGGAACATCAGTAATATCAGAACAGTTACTGTACCTGGTAATAGATCTTTGTGTCCTAATATTCTTTGTAATGAGCTTATTCTTTAAAGTCTGCTGTTTACACGGAGTTGTAAGCACTTGAGAACATTTTCCCACTGTGCCACACACAATGGGAACAAATAGCTCCCTTTGGGGAATAGCCTGCTCCTTACCACCATAGTATGCAATAAGGGCAGGTGTGTTGCCAGCACTTGTCTTTGGCAACTCCAGGTCTCTGCTGCAAACTCTGATGCAGCTGAGAATCCCACAAATTATGCAGTGGCTGCTCCTCCTCACCACCCCAATAATTTCCTGTTCTTCCCTTTGATTACCTTAGGCCACAGAAAAGCTAAATTGTTAGTGAGAGCTATGCAGTCACTTCTTTATGTTTATTCTCTGGTTTTATCTTCCAACCTGTTCTTATTCTTAAATTTTGGTTTTTGTTTTCCCATTTTCATTGAACCATTTTAAATTTTAAATAATTACTGGCAGTAGATTTGAAATAAATTTCCCCAAGTAGTTGATTAATTAATTTTTATATAGTGAGATTTATGAAGACACAAACTGAGTTCCAATTCACTGGGCAGAAAGAAAAGCCTAGGTAGAGCATACAGCCTTTGTTTAGAATGTAGTTCATGTTAAGAGAAACAAATTCTAGCTTTGCTCATAGATTACTATATAAAATGTCTTCTCACTTTCAAACTGTGTGAATTATTGCAACACTCCCATCTTGCCCTATGTTCTTATACAAGCTTTGATTTCACTCTACTCATGGAGAAGATCTATAAGCATTTGTGTTTTGTGTTTTGAACACTTGCAGCTTCCTTTACTGAACCCCTGGATTAGAGCCTATGCTGCTCCTCAGCCCACTCCAGGCACTGTCTGTTCTGCAGTGAAAATCTGGACAAGTTCAGTTGCTGTCAGTACTTTGCCAGTATCATTCTCACAGATTCCCCAGGAGAACTGTCTGAGTTCTTCTGCAGCTGAAATAAGTGTATTGAAAATAATTCCTCCTGATAAAGAAACAGTAAATAATCCTCCAGGCCCTGTAAAGACACAGTTCCACAGGAGGGGTTTGCTTTCCACACACTGCCACTTTTGCAAGAGCTAAACTGAATTGCTAAACTCAGTTAACATCATGTGGGATAAATGTATCCCCAAAAAATTAATGCAACATGAGCCATCAGTCTGATTTTATTTCTCTTCTGGCATGCAAAGTTTTCTGCCTTATTTTGCTTTCTGATATGGAATTCTACATATATTTTAGTTTTCTGAAGCAAAAGGGAAAATGAACGCTTACAAACATCAGGAAGAATAAAGCCACAAAAGAGTATTACCAATTTAAGCACTGTTCTGTTGTGATTTAAAAAATATATTTTCATATAGATCCCATTAAGCTGTGATAGTACAAGTTTTAAGGGAAACATAGCATGTTTTCTCACAGGGAAAGGTTAAGTAAAGGAGTCTTTAAGATTAAATAACAAGTACCAGCATGAGCCCTTTGATGTAGACTAATTTTTAGTTATTGGCTTGCAAGAAATGATCAGGGAGATAAGATCAAACAAGTTAGCCTGTTGGAATTTTATGAAGCAAAGGAATTCAATAAGTATCTTTCCAGTCAGTCAGGGGTTAAATACTTCTACTCCCTGTTAATATTTTGCCAGTTCTGAAGGGCAGAAGCTAAATATACGAACATAAATCTGTAATTTTACAGACAACTAATGCTAGAGTTTATAGCATTCACAATCTTTGTTTTACAATGCCTGCTAAGTAGGACCTAAATGGAGGAACATAAAGAACTTAAGTTTTGACGAATTTTTGTCTTGTATGTGCATTGATAAGAATACAGTTTGTAATAATGACAGAGACTAAGAAAGAAGACTTTTTTTTATTGAGATAGCCAATAAATATGACATGTTAAGTCAGGAGGTAAATCAAGTGTCAGAATTCATCGGGGATGCAATATGACCAGTTAGATAAATCAATGACTTGTCTGGTGTTACATAGGAATAAACATTGAAATACCTAAGAGATATTTAAATTTAAATGTATGCTCTGACTTTTCCTAGTGCTTCACTTGACAAAGTGCTTTTCATCTGAAGTCCACAGCCAGTGTTCTTTTCTTACAGATCAGTCATCCTTTAGCTGCCTAGTATTCACTCAGGCACTTTCTGGGCTGAAGAAGGGAGGAGAGAGTCAACTTTTAATAGTTTCATCATAAAACTGAAAATAACAATAGTTTCAGTTGAATCTACTTTCCTTTTTTGTTTTCAACCACTGTTGTTTGCTTTAATGTATACCACTTAGGATTTTAATCCCATGCAAGTTTTCTCTTTCTAATTATTTGTAGTGTTTGACCTTGGATAAATTTGAAGGTTATCTTGATGAAACTCAGCTGACTCGGCAAGCCCTTTATCTGCTGGAGGAAAACAAATTATGGGCTGCTGTGGTTTTTTCAGACTTAGAACCTACAGCCAGCAGTCTCCCACCACATGTGACATACAAGATCCGAATGGACATAGATGCAGTGGAGAAAACAAACAAAATCAAAGACAGGTATTTTCCTGATAGTTATTTCTCAGTTCTTGCCTGCCATAACATAAATATGAGAGACATAAGGGTGTTAGAACCTGTGTGGGATGCATATGTAAAATCCAGCTGTATTTGTTAATAGTTACTGTGTAGTGCAGCGTAGAATCCATCTCCAGTTACCAGGTACTAACACAAATGGTATCACTCTTGTGACAAGCCAAGCAGTGGGTGGGTGCACGAATACAAGGCAAAGGGATGACTCTGCTCAGAATCTGTTCAGTAACCTGCTTCAGTTTATAGATGGCCCCACCATTGGGAAAGACAGATAAGGAAGTCCTGCATGGACTGTGACTCAGCGCTCCTCCACCTGGACAGCAGAACTTCTCTGCTGTTCCTCCTCAAGTCCCCACCAAATAGACTCGATTAAAGGGATATCATTTCTCAGGATTGTCTACAGAAGAATATAATGGTATCTGGTAGTTGCAATTCCAAATACAGTTATTTCTATTCTAGAACAGTTATTCTGCTGTGGGACTAATTTATGTACATTTTAAGCCACAATTGCTATTCCAAGTGAGTGCAGAGAAAATTAGAGGAAAAAAAATAGCCTTCTACTTTCTTAAGCAATATGGTCTGATAGACCAAAGTCTAGAAAAGACAACTCCAGGCAGTGTCCCTACAATTTCAGTTGCTAAGATTAATTAATTAATTTGTCCTACAACCCTTCCCTAAAGTCACTGCTTACCCAAATGGTTTCCATGTGAATTTTCTTTTGAGGTACTGGGATCCTGGTCCAAGAGCTGATCCTGTTGATGATTTACGTTATATCTGGGGAGGCTTTGCATATCTCCAGGACATGATTGAGCATGGGATTATAAAGACCCAGACCAGCACTGAAGTGCCATTGGGAATTTATCTGCAGCAAATGCCATATCCGTGTTTTGTGGATGATGTGTGAGTAAAAGCAGTTTGTCTTAATTCTATTGAATACTTGGATTGCTGGATGGTTTAAGATTCTCAAGCACCAGAATTAGCCCTAAGTTACGAATGTCCTAAGGTATAAATGCAAGAGTAATAATTGAGACACAACTGAATTAATTTGGTTTTTTCCTTATCCTGTCATAACCCAGACTCCACAAGCCACCTTTGCCAAGGTTTGACCCCTAATCCCAATCCTGGCCTTTGTTTCATCCAGTATCCAGGCCTAAAATGAACTTAATGCACTAGCCCCTTAAAAGCAGCAGTTTTCTTCCAATTTTCTTCCCTGTTCATGGTGTGCCTGCTCCAATGCTGCAGTCTGTGATACTGCAACTGTCCTGGTATACTTTTCACTCAAAAAAAAAAAAAAGGCATTAGGGAAATCTTTTCATAGTTCTGTCCATGTGCTCTGTGCAGGCGAATGCTACTGCTTCTGATAAAAGCAAATTGCAGACACATAGATTGACCTGTCATTCCCGTCACTCATTATGTGTTAGTCTGACAAAACATCACCCTGGCAAGCCTGCTGTCTATCTCTTCTCCACTGAGGACATTGCAGAGGCAGAAACCCCATCTGTGCAAAAGTTCTCTGAAGCCTGCAGTAGCCACATGCAGATCAGGGCTGGTATCCAAATTCAGTGATGGCCTCTGCAGAGATCCTGCTTAATTGAGGGAAGTGCACCCTCAAGGTAACCTGTAGGCTGTGCTGTGCACGTTACATGTGTCCACCAACTGGCAAACTCAGCGTGCCCAAGGCCACATCACAAAAGCATGGGTTTATTTCTCCAGACCAGATTGCTTTTCAGGAATTTTTTGGTGAGAAAGTGAAGATTTTCCCTTTGTTTTGAAGCTGATGTAGCTTTCATAGCACATGGGAAAAATGTAGTTCTATAGGGCTCAGACTTAGGAACCTGAAGACTTTTTGCTCCTTGCCTTTAGCAGCTATGAGCTGCAGTGTTAATTAGTGGTATTAAACAGCTCACATAAGGATGAGCAAGTACCCTGGGAGCCTGAATAATAAAACCATCCACATCAATCCTAACTAGGGAGAGGGAGATGTATTCCCTCATCTTCTTCACAAGATAACTCCCCCGGCACAGCAAGGCCATCAATGCCAGGGAGACATTGTTTATGTTAACGTGTTCCCAGACTCAGCAAAATGAAGAGATAAACAGTGCAGCTGACAAACCGTGTCCTGCACAGGACCTTGCTTAATAACTCCTGTGGCTATAGTGTGCTTAATAGAAAACTGCCTCTGGCTCAGCCTGCATTGGGTGCCAAGGGCTGTGGTGAGTTGGCCATGACTGAATGCCAGGTGCCCACCAAGCCTCTCTATCACCCTCTTCCTCAGCAAGAAAGGAGAAGAAATTAAGATGGAAAACAACTCCTAGGTCAAGATAAGGCTCTTTACTAAAGCTAAAACAAAAAATAACCCAGAGATTTCGTAGCCTTCAATAACCCTTAGAACCTCTTTGTAAAATAGAAATAACATTCATCTGTCTCATGGGAATGCAGAAACCATTACTTTATTAATATTTAGGGTGCTTGTGAGGTTTACTAGTAACATGCTATTGATGTTTGGACAGAATTTACAGTTCTGTGTTTAATTAATACACTCTTCCCAACTCCTTTTCCTTTTCATTTTTGCTTTTCATCTAATATTTCTCTGTTTTACCTAAATTTAATTTATTCCTTCTTGCTTTGGTAGCTTCATGATCACCTTAAACCGCGCCTTTCCCATCTTCATGGTGCTAGCTTGGATATATTCAGTCTCCATGACTGTGAAGAGTATAGTGCTGGAGAAGGAAATGCGTCTGAAAGAGGCTATGAAGAACAGGGGCATAACCAACGGAGTGATCTGGTGCACGTGGTTCCTAGACAGCTTTTCCATGATGGCTGTGAGCACATTCCTCCTCACAGCTCTGATTATGGTAGGGATTGCTACTCTCAAACTCACTCTTGTGTTTGCACTCCTGATACCAGTTTGCTGTTGAGAAAGAATAGTAGCCATAAAGAGGGAGATGTGAATAGTGGAGGCCTGCTCTGATCACAGCACGTAGCAGGCACATTCTTCTAAGCAGACCTCATAACAGCATCAGCACTTGGCAGAGACAGAACAATAAATGCACCAGTAAAGATTTATTGCGGGATCACTCATAGAAAATACATCAGGCTGGTTACTCTGTATATTGTATTTTCTGTAGGCAGATGCAGATCTCCCAATAAATAATAAGTGTTGTTTTAAATCAAAGAGATAATTTGCAGAATTTTAATCTTGTAATTCACTACATGTCATTAATTTTTAATATTCAGTGCTTGTCTGCTTAGAAACTGTGCAACTATTTCAACGGAAAAAGAGACTGCAAGAACAGAACTTTCAGGAAAACCTAAAAAAAAAATCCACCTTTTGCTCCAGTGATTCAGAATTACTGTAATTTTTATAACTTTTCAGGACAGTTCAGATGTTGTCTCTGAGGACTACCTTTTGTCTCCACTACCTGAGAACCAAGCTTTATATTGAGAGCTTGCTGCTATATTTTATCATATAAATGTATAGCATTTTGGTAAGGAAAAATGCCCTTGCATCTTTTCTGATGCGGGGAGCTGGTATTGGTATAAATAGATAGTTAGGGTTCAAGCTGCTCTGTCTTACCAGCATGTCCTGATAAGTTGTTGTAGTTCCTGGTGTTTCCATTGCAGCTTGGGTGGATAGAGAAAGCTCACTTGATTTGCTACAGTGGTTTAATTAAAAATCAGGAGGTAATTAATATCAGAGAGGAATGTGCTTGTACCTGTAATTCACTTTCTTTCCCATATTTCACTATGCCAGTGTGAGGCACCTTTGTATATACATTCTTATGAGACACTACATCCCTTTTGATAAAGAAATCAGTCTCTAAGGCCCAGTGGGATGTTGCAACCATGCTGAGGCCTATTTATAGCCTGAAAGACCTATTTGAGCATTATATAAATTGACCTAATAAATAGGTCTCAACATTGGTTTTAAAGACTACATAGATAATTGGCAGCAATCCCTGTTCTTCTTGAGAGAGAGCATGTAATCCACAAAAGCTCTAATGAAGAAAAGTCAATAAAAGTTCACCCAGTGGGTCAGTTAATACTCAAGGATCTCTGAGAAACTGCGCTTGGATTCCTCAGGTGTGATATGCTTCTGTTTGAATAATATCCAGGTGCAGAAGCTTTATAATTTGCCTATGGTTTTATTGTGGGGTTTTTTTAAGATGTGTTTTGTAACACTTCCTTATGTTGTCTTTTCTGTACATCAAGCAAGTGGATTGAGGGTATGGTGTGAGGAGATAAATGAAAGTTTGTTGTAATATTTCAAAGAGCTTTATTTAAAATGCATGAGTTTCCAAGGGGACAGATCTTGCTTGGAATCATTTACTTGTTAAGACTGCAACAGAATGTCTGTTTTCAGTCAGTTATGAATTTTGTTCTTTCTGTTGTACTAACCTGAAGTCACAATCCAAGAGCAGAGATAAAGTTAGATGAACGATTTGTTGTAATGACCTCAGTTGTTGAAACGAATATCTGGAAGAGTTAGAAGTCATATTAGGTCAGAAAGACTGGCTTATTACTCTGTACCTATTACATGTCAAAAGCAGTTCTGACCTTTCCTGCTAGCAGAAAGCAGCAATACTTGTAAATTTTTCTGTTTTCCTTTTGCTTGCAGCATGGACAAGTGCTACATTATAGCAATCCACTTCTGTTCTTTCTATTCCTCCTGACATTCACCACAGCCACCATAATGCAGTGTTTCTTGTTCAGCACCTTCTTCTCCAAAGCAAATCTGGCAGCTGCCTGCAGTGGAGTCATCTACTTCACCTTGTACCTGCCCCACATCATCTGCTTTGTCTGGCAAGACCGTCTGACTGCTAATCTGAAGATCCTAGCAGTAAGCCTTTCACTGGTTCCATGGCATCTCTGCTCCCCTTCTCACAGTCCACAATGTGGATCACAAAGTATTGCACACTTCTTCCTCTTGACTTTTTTGACTCAGGGGGGGAGACCTCTAAATCTCTCTTAAATAATCAAGGATTGCAGGTGTGGAAGCCTGTAGCACAGACCTAGTTCAAGAGATATCTTCATAGCTTTTAGAAAATTCAATAAAATTGATTTTATGTTTTAAATTCCAGTAAATTAGCATACTAAAATGTTTTAGATGTTTTGAATATTTCCTTGTAAGTAAAATCTGACTTCTGGTATGTTTAATAAATATAAAGGCAGTTCACAAAATGGGAACAGTTATCTTTCTCATGTGCTATAACCTACTTAACACCCTGTGTCTAAGCATAAGAAGACCTCAGGTTGACATTCCTTCTTTACCTGAACTGTAAAGCTAGGAATTGAGCCCCAGTGCCAAAGTTCTGAGAAATACCTTTCATCTAATGAGTTGTAGACATTCTCCATGCACTGTTTCCTTGTTGGTTCTCTTCCATTTTAGGTAAGATACTTAACAAGTCAGGGGAGCTGGAAACTTCTTGCTGTGTTTTGAGATGGAACCATGATCTTATAAAATTACTCAGATTGTATTTCTGTTGCCCAATGAGTTAGGAAGGAGAGTGGGTGTTTTGAGTCCAGTGTACCCATTTTTACCAAGCCATCTAACAGCATAGGTAAAGGAACTGTCTTCTCACACTAGGAAATATAAGGAAACAGGAAAAAGAAAACAAAGCACTTCCAAAGCTGTAACTAGGTGATAAGTAACTGTAACTAAGTTATAAGCTAAGTATGAACTTCTGGTTTATTAGTTTGTTGTGTTAGAATCAGCTAACAGACATGACAGGGGAAGTAGTTGTGGTTTTCCATATCCTCATAATCTGGGGTACTTTCTGTCATGTTACTCAGAGTGGCTCTGCCTCATACACTCAGGAAATACTTTGTTTCACCTACATAATCAAAGGTATACACTGAAAACTTCTAGATGCACCTGTAGCATTTTCCAAACAGACATTAATGAAGGAAAAAAACAATCTTTGAGAGTTTCCTAGTAGTTAAATAAAATACAGCCAAGGTTGAATTCAGTCCATTATAGCTAAATACTGCTTAGAATTGTAGAAAATTAAGCTTTACATGCCAATATAAAAGTGAAACAGCTTTTCTCATGTCATTTGTTACACAATTTTAAAGTCCTGCCCCTAAAAGTCAGAGGTTTTTTTGTTTGTTTGTTTCAAGTTTTTTGTTTTCTTCTTGTGGTGGGGTTTTTTTTGCTTATTTGTTTTTGGGATTTGTTGCAAAGTGTCCCCCTGTCAGGGCTGAATATCTTTTTTCCTTTATTCCAGAGTTTGCTTTCTCAAGTAGCTTTTGGGTTTGGTACAGAATACTTGTCACGCTATGAAGAACAAGGTCTTGGCCTACAGTGGGGTAACATCAGAACCAGTCCCTTGGAAGGAGATGAATATAGTTTTCTTTTTTCCATTAACATGATGGTTTTTGATGCTTTTCTCTATGGAATACTTTCTTGGTATCTTGATAACGTTTTTCCAGGTATGCCAGTTTCTTATTCATACAAAGTAGTGGTAGTTGCTGCAAACTGTGTTAGTCTAATCAGTCTCTGCATATTTCAGTGGCAGAAACAGGGTGTTTGACCTTGTAGACTATGAATCTTATCCAGTTTAGCACTACTGGTTTATTAAGGACTTCCACTTTTCTCTCTCCTCTTTTATTCCTGAAAAGAATGAGGAAGGAACAGTAAAAAGGGACGATGTGATTTCTAGTCCTGTTTTATAATTTAAATAGAAACTAAATCTACAAAACATCATCTGTTAAAATCCAATTTGTGGACATACTTTTCTTTTGAAAAGTTTCAACCATTTCTAGTGAGACTTCTTTAAATTTTTTAAAATATAGTTTTGACAGTAGATTAGATTTTCTAGTTCATATATCTACTTTGGCCACATTATGCAAACTGTTTCTTAAAGGATGGAACTGTTTCCTAAGACACATGCCTTGTCATTGGCAGTTGTGAAAGTTCCTGTGTGGATTTATTTTGTTTCTCAATGGAAATCATGATTCTAGTACAAAGTCACAAAAGGATTTTCTTTGCTATAAATTACAAAATTCTGGAACCTTCTATGTGAAAAAATGATTTGTTCTTCTAGCTTAAATGGTTATGCTTCATATTGAATATTGCTACAATATAATAACTGCCAACTCTTATGCTGTACAAGCAAGTGAGCTTTCTTTGCATCAGTTTATTACTCCTGCATGTATACTGCAATTCCAGAAGGTGTTCTTGGCAGGAGGATATTTTCTTTTTCTTTTGCTTTTTCTTTTGCTGTTTCTTTTATTCCTTTTCTGCAACTCTGTTTGTTTAAAGAAAAGTGGACAATTGACTGTTTGCATGAACACAGCAGGAATTAAACAAGAAATTTCTTCATTCATAGATAAAAATCATTTTTTTTCTGTCAGCACTTTACACAAAAGTAGCATCTTTCAGGGCTTCTAGTTAGTAGCTTCACTTGCTCCCAATATTTGGTCTGTTTTGTCTTTCTGCTGCTCTGTTTCTGTAGAATTTCTGTAGAATTTCATAGCATTTCTCTGTCACATACATACAGCCCTGCCAAATCAGTGCTGTACTATTTGAGGTTACTGCAGGAATTCCCTGGATAATTCCTTGAGCCCTATGGTTCTAGTCCTGCTCAAGTCTGCTCTGAAACCAGCCACCCGTTGGCACAATGGCCGTTTGGCTATTCAAGCATTCTGCTCCATAACAAATTTCAGTTGGGTTTGCATTCATCCTGAATGAGAAGCTGTTGTTTTAGCCACCAGTTTCAGAGGGGAATAATCCAGTCCATAACAAGGCAAACTGTTTATGAACAAAGACAGAGCACTTCTGTGCATGAATAGGAGTACAAGTGGTTGGCTGAAACACAGGTATCTTCTCTTAATTCAGAAGTAAGCAGACACTTTGATAAGCAGTGGTTTTCAATTCATAAAACTGATCATCTTTTTATGAGTATCACAGATCTCCTTGCCTGTTTTGAATAAGTAACACAAGGCCAATAACATCTCAGTTCACAAAGATGCCAGTTTTAAACATAGAAGCTCAAATTCCTTCATTCTATAAATCAATATGATCCAGGAAAGCAGTGTTGACTTCCAGTAACTCTGACCTGAGCTGCCAAGAACTGGTAATGTTATTGTGCTGTCTCTTATCCAAACTGAATTAACCTGTAACTAAAAAAGCCCATTTTTGTTTAAGAAGAGGATTACACTGTTGTCATTTTTCCTGACAGGCTGTGTGCTGAAATAACAGGCAGAGTGTCTTTTCTCATTACCAGTTGTAAATTCAGCCCCAGGATAATAAGTGTAAATTTAAAAAGCTTTTCAGTAATGTCATACCTGAGGTGTTAATTGGGCATTAAAAGAACGTCCTTGAGTGAGGCTAGGATCCCACCTTAAGCTGCTGCCTGGTTGGTAAGGATTCAGGGAGTAGCTTCATTCTGCAATTAAACTACTTTCTACTTAAGACATGGTCAGGCAAGTCACATCACATTTTCTGAATATTTTACTGCTGTCCAAAAGGAAAAAAAACCCAAAAAACTGCTAACAAAATCTGTTCTGTCAACTACTTGGTACGTGGTTTGACCTTCTGATATGCAACACTAGGACTGCACGTGTTTATAATTAGACTTTGCTTAGATGAATTTATACCTACTGCAGAATGGGGTTATGAAGTGCACTTTACCTACTTATTTTTATTTTAGGGGATTATGGGTTACCACAGCCTTGGTATTTCCCTGTGCTGGAATCCTATTGGCTTGGCTCCAGAAGCCCAGAAGCTGAGAAAACAGCAACTGCTGATGGTGAGTTCTTTTAAAACTTTGTTTTTTAGAAATAACTTCACTGATCTGCTTGAAGGTGACTGCATAATATTTCCATTATTTGGCCTGCTGCAAAGGTGAGAGACTGCCATACACTGGGAGTCTTGGCAAGGGCCTTTGAACTTGGAGTGGTGTGCTATCATTAGAGTCATTAGAGGTGAGTCACTGTTCCGTCTGAGAGACTTTAAGGCCTGGCTTAACAAGCAGCATCAAATCCTCACTCTGTAACCTTTTGAGACATTCAAGGAGTTCTTATTGCTCAGCACAACATCCATGAAATGTTAATCTTACACTCAGGTTCCCTAGTTTTCTAAACCTGACTCTTTCCTGGATAGTTTGACACTAATTTAAGTCTGTTTACTTTCTGTTTCTAAGCAAGATCATAATCTACGCCATCCTTGTACCAACGTGAATAAACTCAGTAAAGAGCCAACAAGTTGATTAGGAGTTGGAGCATGTCACATACAAGATGCTGAGAGAGCTGGGTCTGCTCAGCCTGAAGAGAGAAAGCTCAAAAGAGCTAGACTTCTCTGATGTGTCTAGTGGAAGGATGAGAGGCATTGGATATAAGCTAGAAAACAAGAATTCAGATTCAATATAAGGAAAAAAGTATTTATTATGAAGGTAGAACACTGTAACATGTTGTTCAGAAAGGTTATGAAATCTCTATCTTTGGAGATAGTTGCCATGATCTGAATTGGCCATATTTTTTGAGGATTGAACAGGAAGTCTTTGGAAGTAATTTCTGATTTAAATTGTTCTATTATTATCTCAAGTAGTCTGATTGTGTTGATCGTTATTTCATCCTCTCTTCTACAAAAGCCCTTGAAAAGCTCAAGGCTTAGGACTGTTTCCTCTTCCTGAAAATACCTCTAGGGATATTAAATTTTTGTTAATTAAATGTTGATTACTTTTGGTTTATATAGAAAAAAGTCCAGAGTCAGAAGGTTGTGTGGATCAGAAGACCATGGAAAGGGAAAAAAATGAAAGCAACTCAAATAAATCTGAAGAAGCTGAAAAAACAGAAGAAAAGAGTGACGGCCAGGGGAAGAAGGATGGTAAAAACAAACAATGTAAACACAAACGAGAAAAAGAACCCGGCGAGCAGGGGAAGCCTAAGACAGATGTCCAGGACAAAGATGAAATTAATAGTAAGGAGAGAGAGCAACCTGAGTACTTCTGAGATACTATACTCATTGTACTTCATCCCAAACTAGACATAGCAATGATTGGAGCCAAGCTACAAGAGCTAGTAGGGGCCCAGTAAGTGATAGCATGTAACTACCAGAGCTAAGCATGACAGAGACATTGACTCTTATTTATTCCTCTACATTCATCATCCCGTGGAATATTTTAGCCACTACAATTAAGACAGCTGGCTTCCAGAAGAACTCCCTAACTTTTTTTTTTAATCATACAAATGCAGACTGTTTCTTTGGCAAGTTAGTTTTCTTGCTGAGGGGAGCCTAAGAGCCACATACATTGACTCTTTAAAATTAAACAGAGCCATGACATCAATAAAAATACGCTGAGGTGAATGTTCTTCCCTCTTAGTCCCTCCCCTCTATTTTTTTTTTTTTGCCTCTCTTTAGTGTGTTTTGCATCAGTAGGAAAAGGCTGGTTTCAAAGGGATTTATCTGAAGTGCTCTGTATGTCTGTCTGCAGCCTTTTCTGATGCTGACATTAGCCATCACCTAAGAATTCCTGAATAACCTGTCTTGTTTTCAAGCCCCAATGTCTTCTGTTGTGGTGAGCCAGAGAAGTTTTCTGTATGAGATGCTCAGAGGAATGCATGTGAATTCTGTAGCACAAGTAACACAGCTTTGAGCCCTTTCTGACTCTTGAAAAGCAAGAGATAAAAGTGGGGTCATCAGAGCTCCTCACGTAGGCACTGAAAACATGCATTCAGGGTGAATGGAAACAGGACAGGACTTCAAAGGAAAAAGACAGGCAGAGGTTAAAGGTTATTTCAGCCAATCTTCTCCTAGTACTGCCTTATCTTTTTGGTGCTTTACTCCTTAGTTCCCAGGTTCCAACTGCTCCACGGCCACAAAGGAAGGGCTTTCTGCCTCGCACTGTACAAAAAACCCCAAAAACCTGTCTTCCCTTTCAGCCACCCAGGAACTGGGAGGCATGAGGAGAAGCCAAGAGCAGACCTAGTACAGTTCAGTGACAATGAGGATATAGGATCAAAATGGAGAAATATGAATCACAAAAAAAGGGAGCTCAACCTTCCACCAGTGTCCTTCAGGTGATGCAAAGCAGATACTGGGGGAGATCATCAGAGAATTTGCCTCATAATTTGCTAGTGAGTCTTGCAGACAAGATTATGACACATATAAAACCAAGGAAGGTGCCTCAATTGCCAGTATATGGTAGCTATCTAGCCAGACTCCATGTGAACTTCTGTGAATACAGAGATGTTTGTCCCAGCAAGGTAAATGGAAACCTAGATTCTTTTCACAAATCAAAAGAAAAGTTGCTCATAAACATAATTTTATCTAAAATAGTGCTACCCATTCTATATTGACTATTGCAGCTGTTCTCTCATGTACAACAAATTTGGAACTTTTTTCTAAGTCCTGCCGGTGACAATAATGACAGCCACACAAGCTGCTGATGGATGTGGGGCTGGTTTTGCCCAGCTTGCATTGGCTGCTCTCCACACAGGCCTGCTGGCTACTGAACAATTTAAGTAAACTGCAATTGCAAAATAAGCCTTCTACAAAGCCTAAAGCATTCTGTGTAAACAAAAGTGGACAGGGTCTTTAGTTTCAGTTTCTCAGCTCCCATAATTCACATTGCCCAAGGGCTTAATTTACTTCAAAGGAAGTTTGTTTTGTCTAGAAGCTGGTGCAATAAAATGTCTTGATGCTGCTATTTGCAATAATGCATTTTTAATCCTGAGAGAAAGCCATCTCATGCAGTGCTCATGTTAGGTACTATCTAAATCCTGACCTGTTCTCAGCAATGAGATAAATTTCATCTACCAGGATTAAAGGCAAGTTTTTTTGTTGTTGTGGTTTTTTTTTGTGTTTGGGGAGGTTTTTTAACCATCATGGTCAAAGAATGCACAGCTGGGCAGATTATTTGAATGGCAGATTTCAGCCCAGCTAGAAAAGCAACCTGCTGCTTGTTTAATGTAATCTCTCTGCCTATCTAAGTATTTCCAGAAAACAATTCCAAATAATCTTCCTGCTACACAATGAGAACAGAAAGCATGTTCAGTTTCCCCTGGCCTGATGAATTACCTTTCCACAGACCACCACAATTCTGGGCTCTACTTCTCCTGTCATAGATATGAGGGTGAATCTAAATAAATTGCACTGCAATTAGAAATCTAGCCTTAGTTTTATACTGGTGTGACTTGGAGAATCTGGCCTTGGAACACGATGCTATATTATGCTGTGTATGTGCTGTTGCTTCTGCATTTACTGATGTGTTGCCATCATCAGAACCAGGATTAAAACAGGTGCTTTTATTCTCTTTTCATTTTTGATTTCTTGCCTTTCAAGTAAATACCTTCTTTGAGCCTGAGCCAGCAGGATTGATTCCAGGAGTGTGCATTCAGAACCTGGTGAAGATTTTTGCAAACAGTGCCAAACCAGCAGTAGATGGGATAAATATTACTTTTTATGAGGGTCAGATCACAGCCTTCCTTGGTCACAATGGAGCAGGAAAGACAACTACCATGTAAGTCTCTTCTTTTAGAAGAAGCAAATCTAGGGCAGTACTCTATTGCTGGGGCAGTCTTTTCTTTTCACTCTTCCCTTGTCTCTCTACCACCCCTGCAGCTGGCCTGACACACAGCATTAGGCCTTTTCCAGATGGGGAAATGCTGCCCCTAGGCATAAAGAAGGTATTCTGTATTAGTTAAAGCCCTGGGAGGGAAGTCATGCATGACATAAACAAGTGAAAGTCCAGAGAGAAGGAAGCAATTCTCTCTCCCAGAATTCATTTCCCATGGCTAAACTACCATAGGTGAAGAAAGAGAAGGATCTTCTGGCTGAAAGAAAAAATTTGCAAGCCACTACATTCCACATGTTCTTGGTTTCTCTGACTGGCTCTAAGTCAGTCACATCTATTGGTCTGTGTTCAAAGTATAAAATACAGGCCCTCTTTAAATAAAATTACTATGTGCATGCAAGATCCATGTCCAGATTAAAATGTTCCTCTAGTCCTAGAAACCTAGTATCCCAGGAAGCTGGACTTCAAGGATGTTTGATTTTCTTTATACAGAACCTTGTTTGGCAAAATAGGATTCATTGGTGAACAAAACCTTTTATAAATCTGTGACAAGTTCACCAAATGTTGAAAGAATTGAATGTGTTTCATCATTTTCTCAGAAGAATACTTCAGGGTTTTTTAATTAAAACACTTTTATTTCAAAGGCACTTTAAATTGTCTTATGATTTTTTAAATTGTTTCACAAGGAATATGTTCAACCCAAAATAAAAGCATCCTAATCTGCTGAAATGTTTTGTCATTTGAGAGGTTTTTTTCTTCTGATAAAAACAAAATTTTTTATTGCTTTGAACTTTTTTAAGCAGAAAAATCCACTAATCACCCAAATATATTAAGAGATGCCACCCATTTACAACATAACATTTGGTCTTGTAGTTTACAGAAAATAAAGATTTAGGGCATGAGTCAGCATAGCCAGAGATCTCAAACCATTATTCTTTTTTCATCCTACTGAGCTTCATTTTAGACCCATTTATATGTAGGGGTGATATAACATGCTGAACTAAAACAGTTTCTTGATGGAAGCCAGAAGCATATAGACAGTTGTATTAAAAATGACATTAGCAGATCCATCAGATTCTCTGTAGCAGATCAAGAGTATTTACAGACATGCTTTTTGCTGGGGTGGTTTCATCAAGGCCTATAGTAAGAAGTCATCATGCTCCATCTAGTGGAATCATGTAATGTAGCTTCCTTATCTAGCACAGAGAAGAGAGGAGAGGGGGCATTTCCTCATTTTGTTTTCCTAGGTCCATACTGACAGGCCTCTTCCCTCCCACGTCTGGAACTGTGCTGGTTGGCGGCCTGGACATCCAGACTCACATGGACTCCATTCGGCACAGATTAGGGATGTGCCCTCAGCACAACATCCTGTTCAATCAGTAAGTGTCACTCCATACCGGCTTCAAGGAGAAGCATCCCAGTCTGCATGTGTGAGCATCCCCAAAGCCAAAGCAGGAGAAATCTCCTGCATCATTTCACTGGGAACAAAGTTTCTTAGGAAAATAACAATGCTCCTGGTGTTTTGTGTTGTAGTGTAGGCTAGTAGGAGTTATCCTGGAGGTTCATGCACTATAATTTAAGACCACTAAAGCAAAAAAATCCAAATTGATAGTGCAGTAGCAGGATATTTTTATGCCCATTTGCCACTACCACTCAACCACTTACTGCCTTCTCTGGTGATTTCCAGCTTCACTTCCATTAGTTTGTGTTCATCTCAACAGCAGACTTCTTCCATTTTATTCCCATAAATGGATGGTTTGATGGCTGCTATACCTGTTCCTTTAGTAGCAGGTTCTGCTTTGAAAAGGCAAAGAAAGAGACTATGACCTCCAAGTGAAGTGTGTTGATCCCAAAGAAGATGTTTTAGGGTAATGCAACCTCTCTTCCTTTAGCAAGATAAAGCTAGAGTGAATTTATTGCTGCTTGGGAATAAAAGTGGTTTATTCATTTAACGTGCCTTTTCCCTTTCTGTCTGCTGTCACAGCCTTACTGTAGCAGAGCACATCTTGTTTTATTCTCAACTGAAAGGAAGATCCAGGGAAGAAGCTGAGCAAGAGCTGGAAACAATGCTGGAAGACATGGGCCTCACCCATAAAAGAAATGAAGAAGCTCAGAATTTGTCAGGTGCCCACAGGAATTTTCTAAGATGTTTTGTCCTGCTGCCTTTTCTTTGTCTCCCATAGAATCACGGAATGGTTTGGTTTGGAAGGGATGTTAAAGATTGTCTAGTTTCAACCCCTTCTCATGGCCAGGAACACCTTCTGCTAGACTAGGTTGTTATAGCCACATCCTACCTGGCCTGTGGGCAATTAGTGGTCAAGTTACATATTTGAGGCCATATTCTGACTCATCAATGTGCACTGGGGGGATGCTTTCTTTTCAAAGAGTAAATGGGACTGTACAAGTAGTAAAGCTGGCACAACCTGTCCCTAAAGCTTCTATGTCTTATAAATATACAACAAATTCAAATATACTTGCTCGCTATTCATTTTAAATAAATATATGTATAAAAAATTCGTTAATATAACAAACAAAACAAAATAAAACCTCCTATTACTTCAAGGCAAATGAAATACTATAGTATCATTCTGCCCCACTGTAAGGATCTGTGCTCCACAGTACTGTATTATTTGGTAGGAGTAGCTTCTTCCATTCTGAAGTTACAAATGCACAGAGTGTATTTCAATAACTCTCAGATTCAAAGGCTGATTTTAATAAACAGCCATCTATTCTTATACTACTTTGTCCTGATTGCAACTACAAAAAAAGAGTTGGTTAGTTTCACGAAAGAACACGAAGACCTCATATCTTCCTGCTTTTGTTTCTGGCAAGAAGCAGAAAATGCAATGTGTAGATGGAAAATATATATTATTTATATATGTATAAATAACCTGCTTTGAATTTCAGAAGAAGAATTACTATTAACTTATCTTTGCAGAAATGTGTCTTAGGACGCATTTCATTTTATTTGTAGCAGTTTGTCCCCATACCAAAAAGCAATTTTTATTACATCCCTATGACTTACATAACTCACCTGGCTGTGTTTGTCCTCTGGTAGGTGGAATGCAAAGGAAACTGTCTGTTGCCATTGCTTTTGTGGGTGAAGCAAAAGTGGTAGTCTTGGATGAGCCCACTTCTGGAGTTGATCCATATTCCAGGCGATCTATCTGGGATCTTCTGCTGAAATATCGCCCAGGTAAGAGATTTGAGAGTAGAAACTGTTTGATTTTCTTGGTGGGATTTTTTAAACTTGTCATAGATGCAGTATGTGCCTACTGTGTAAGCTGTCATGAGTAGTGGGATATGAATACAAGCAAACAAGATTCTTTGAACAGAATGGTTTTGGCAAACCTGGGACTGGCTCTGGTGCAGAGAAATAATTGCCAAAAAGCTAAACACAGTTTTGAGTTCCAGAGAGAGTTCATGCCTTGAATATTCCTCCTTGTTCCTTCTAGGCAGAACTATTATCCTGTCAACCCATCATATGGATGAGGCAGACATCCTTGGAGACAGAGTAGCCATCATATCCCAAGGGAAACTCTTCTGCTCAGGCTCTCCTGTATTCCTAAAGAACTGTTTTGGCTCTGGCTTTTATCTCACCCTTGTTCGCAAAATGAGAACCACAAAAATGGAAAGGTCTACAGTAAGTATGAGTGTAGTATGTGTAATCTGAGTAATACTTGCACTGCACCAAGGTAAAAAGCACTTAAGTGCTGCTTGACACTATGTACAAAACTGCAGTTAATCATATGTTTATGTAATTATGAATATCATATTAGCGCGGTTTGGGTTGGAAGGGACCGTAAGGATCAACTAGTTCCAGCAGCCATGCTGTGGGCAGAGACACTTCCCACTAGACCAGGTTGCTCAAACCCCATCCAGCCTGGCTTTGAACACTTCCAGGGTGAGGCATCCACAGCATCTCTGGACAACCTGTTCCAGTGCCCTCAGAGTATAGAATTTCCTCCTAATATCTAACCTAAATCTACTCCTTTTCAGTTTAAAGCCATTCCCTCTTGTCCTGTCGCTACATGATTGTAAGGAGTCCCTATCCAGTTCATTTGTAGCCCTCTTTAGGTGCTGGAGGGTCTCTAAGGTCTCCCTGGAGCCTTCCCTTCTCCAGGCTGAACAACTCCAGCTCTCAAGTTGCCTTTGTCCATATACAGGTCTTTCTGATTCTTGCTTTTACAAGAACTGATTTTAATATCAAGTACACCGATTTTAAATGTCAAGTACTCTGGTAAGCAGCTCAGACACCAGAAAAGTCTACATTTATCCGTAGCTAAACCAGCCTCTCACAGCTTGAAAAGTAGGGTTCTGGGTGCTTTCTCTTGACATAGTGCTTCCAGTCCTAGTAGCAACACAATCTGAACACTCATGGCCCCTGCTGATTGCATTCCCCCAGGTATCTTATATTCAGTTCAAAGTTGATTTGTGCAGATGGATTTATGCATTGCTTAATCCAGTCTTCAGATGATTTTCAGTATAGTACGTTCAAGATGCTCTGGATATACCATATTTTTCATTGACTCAAGCTGTTCAAATATTGACAGCCTTTACATCCTTTTGAGTGTGTCTGAAGCACATTAATCTTTTTATCTCTTGCTTGTCCATGCTAGTCATTTTGTAGCTGTGGATCTCAGTGCTCCTGCTCCTGCTCCAGCTGTGTGCACAGGGGTGAAGAAGGATCTCCAGAGCTGGAACTGGATGGTAAGAAGCAGGATGGTTCAGCATTCCAGCACATAGCTGTCTCCTGCTATGCTGCAACCTTGTCTTAAAGATAAGTGCTGCCAAGGCTCCCTTCTTTGGTCCTTGTGTCTAACATTTGTATTCTGTTGTAACGTGAATTTAATAAGGGTTCTTTTTGGTTTTGCTTACCATTGATCGTTTTTTGTGTATATGTGGTCTCAGGCACAGATGATGAACTGGAAGTTTGTGTGCTTTATGAGTATGGTGTTGAGTTTTGTGTAATTTTTTTAATGAGAACTGAAGCATTATACAGCAAGCATACAGACTTTCTCAGAAGAAAAAGTAATTTTGGCTTTTCTGCATAAGATAACAATTTAAGTAGATATTCCTGAAGATTTGGTTGTGCTTTATTAACAAACCTGAAATAGTTTTCTTCTACATAGTTCCAAAGCATAATTAGCAACATAGCCCAGTCCAGTGTAGAATTAACTGAGGTATCTGTGAGCTATGTAATAGAGCAGTACCTTTTCAGTGCAAACAACCGCTTCTGAAATCATGCTTAATATGGTTAAATAGTCATTCTGTGGACACTCTTTTCACTTTTCACAGGAGATCTAAATGAGCTAGCAGAAGTAATCCACCATCATATCCCAGAAGCAAAATTAATTGAAAGCATTGGTCAGGAACTAATTTATCTTTTGCCCAATAAAAACTTTAAACAACGATCTTATGCCAGTCTCTTCAGAGAGCTGGAAGAAACACTGGATGACCTGGGACTCAGCAGTTTTGGAGTTTCAGACACACCACTTGAAGAGGTAACAGACAGATTAAAACACCTGCTGACCTCATCATAAGCACCCAAAATGTTTACTGAGACTATTCCTGTTCTTAAAATGTCCTTCAAAATCTAGTCCCATAAGCTGTGGCACACTCTTCTCTCTTTGAGAAGAGCCTAGAGAAAGGATCCAATCCTTAATTTATTGTAGCCTTGTGGAGCCTGACCCATTAGCCTGAAATGCATCCTTTTTTTTTTTTTTTTGGTATCTTTGTTCATTCACTTATTTTCTGAGGTATTTCATAAGAGACCTCTGATTATTGATAATAATATGAAGTACTCAAAAGGTATCCAAATTTTCTTCTTTTATATTGAAGGATAATGTATTGTTTTCTGAAGGTCAGTTTACTGTAGCTATTCCTTTCCTAACCAGAAAATGTATTTCTCTGTGGCAGGTTTTCTTAAAGGTCACAGCAGAAGCTGACCCTGAAATGCAAAAAACAGGTAGAGATCTGTATTTGATTAACTGTTCTTGGGACTGGCTTTTATTCTGAACACTCTATAAAGAGGAGTTTCAAAACTTTCAGTCTTTTATGTGCTCTTGACAAAATAAATTTGATCAGCAAATATCTGGTTTTAGGGCATGACATGATACCTTTAAAATAAAGATTAAGCAGAAAGACTTCTGTTTAGGTTGGATGAGGTTCTTAACTATGCAAATAAAAGTGGAGTGCCAAGCACCCAGATGTCAATGGTTTTAGTGGCTGTATAAAAAGTAATTTGCTGACTATTAGTCCATAAACTACACAGATGATTAAACTGTTCATCCTGCTGAGTAAGAGGAAAGTTAACCTATGTGATGTCACTAAATACAACCACAGTGCAACAGTTGTAATTAAAGCAATATGGAGATAGGATATATATAGTTGGTAAAATTTGGACCTCATTAAAATGTCTGTGCTACTTCATGTGTGGAAGATAAAGTGTCTTCTCCGATGCTTCTCCTATTAACCTAGGAGATACTCAAGAAAATGGTTCTGCTCTTGGCAAAACTCCTACTGAGAACAAACCAGCTGAACAAATGGCCCTGAAAATGAGTGACACTTCTCGAATGCCAGTAGGCAGAACAGGAGATCAAAATGAAGGCAAGGGGTCCCGACAGTATAAAGGCTTTCAGCTTGTACATCAGCAGATCAAAGCACTGCTCATCAAACGCTTCCACCACGCCTCCCGCAGCCACAAAGACTTCCTAGCACAGGTATTGATTGACTTGTGCTGTTCTAGGTTCTTTCCCACAACATTCTCAACACTGTCTTTGCAGCAATGATGGCCCTATGGAAAGCAGTAGAGGTGCTGCAAATGGGTAACAGTGCAATTTTGACTCCAACTCTTTTATTTCTTCTTTTATTTCTTTCTGCCTGGAGTCTACCAACTGCACCCAATTCATTATTCTATCACTACTAGCCCAGTGTTTTATTTTTTAACCTAATGCAGTTCTATGACAACCAGAATTTTAAGCCAAAGTGCTGGAGATTAAATTGTTGATGTTCAGAAGTTAAACCAGATTGGATCTGAGTGCTCCTGCTTCCTGCCTTTGTTTACACGTATTATGGGATGTGTACAGTGTCACTCTACAATGTTTCTACAATAACCTAACCTAAAGTTTTTGTGTTCCCTGCAGGTTGTTCTCCCTGCTAGTTTTGTGTTGCTGTCTCTAGTACTTACAGTCATTATTCCTCCATTTGGAGAATATCCTGCCTTAACATTACACCCTTGGATCTATGGACAGCAGTTTACTTTCTTCAGGTAAGAGGAACACTTAAAGTACATTTGTCACACATACACCTTTTTCTTTCTAGAGTGTAACATCGTTGGGCTCTGTCTCACTGCTTTTTTCTCATTCTGTGTGATGTAAGAAAAGATTCACTTCACTGGAATTAACAGATTTAAAATAGCTTGAAATTGGTGTGCCTGGAGAATACAACTGCTAGTACATCTAACAAATAGTCTTTCAAATATCTTTCTAATTTCAGTATTCTCCTCTTCCTACCTGATTTCAGGACCTCAACACTTATAAAGTTACATACCCTATCTAACAGAAGATCCAGGCCTCTGCAAATGAAAATGCAGAATGTGTTTCTCATCTTCTGCTTACTGACTGTGACAGCACTGAGAGAATAGCAATGAGGATTCAAGCCTTTTTTGAAGAATGCTGCTGTTGGACTTTGTCAGAAGTTAGCTTTAGTATTAGGAGAAAAGAACCATAGCCTGTCAACCATCTCAGAATGTTCTGGGGTTTTACATAAATAAATGAAACAATTGAATTATCAGCATTTGAAGGGGGGCAGTTGGTACTGCCATATGGTTGTCCTCCTCTAGTTGCTATGTGTATTACAGTACAATAGTTTGAAAAAATATTTTATAAAGTAAGTCCTATCTGATTCCCTTAGCAATGAACGTCCCGGCAATGAGCAGATGGTCTCCCTTACTCATGCTTTCTTGAATAAACCAGGATTTGGAATTCGCTGTATGAAGAATCAGCCTCTTTCGTAAGTTGCTAGCTAATTTCTCTTGAATGAAATCCTAGCAGGATACATCTAGTGGAACTTGAGTAGTGAAACAAGAATGAATTTGCTTGACTCTTCACAAGAGCCAATGCTTCAGATGTGTTGTTGGCTAGATCTAATATTGGGTCAAAAGCAACAAACAAACAGCAAGATAACACTGCCACTGGATTGGGAATGATTCACAGTGCTCAATGTGACTGACTAGAAACCAGCTCATGCAGCTTGGTATTGAGAGTTAAGCAACCTTGAAATTTATGTTAGTGCGTCAGTAACCTCAGGCCCAGATCTTTACAGCTTCCCTGGCACTTTCCATATCTGAGTCCCTTCAGGTTCCTCCCGTTCCCATTGGTGTGTTTGGAAGCAATAACTTCAGCAATCACCAGGATTGTGAAGTGGCAATAGGATAGTGTCTATGATTTGAAACTGTTCTCATTCTGAAGTGAGGGCAACATTAGTAGAGCTCCAGCTTTTGTTGTCCTACCTGCTTGCTCTGTGAGTCCTGCTTTGGAGCCATTTGTTGCTGGCTTGCTAGGCTTTGACATTTGTTCCCTTTCTCCTGACTCTTTCCCAGCCATGATATCCAGCAATTTGATCCTCGTGGTTGTCCTCTCTTCTCCCGTTCCCCTACTCTCCCTGGTATAGCAGAAACAAAGAGGAAACTTGAAAAAAGAAAAGATACTGCATGAAAAAGAAAAATGATAGTTTCTTCACAAAGATATGTCCACTGCAGATTTCCAGTACTAAGGGATCAAACACAATCCCCTTGTTCCTTCAGTGTCCTATCTGCAAGCTGAAGGCAGTAAACTTGGCAGAGATGTGGGGGGAGATTATATTTATTCATGTGTACCAAATAATCTAAAATTTTGTTCTTATTCAAAATTCACAGGATGAGGGCTAAGGGGGGAATAGCTGCTTAGGGCACTGTGATTTTGTGGATTTGTGAGTCCTTGTGGACTGTTATCTCTGCACATCTTGAATCTCTTTATCTCTCCACAGGAACTACCCATGCAATAACATGCCAACTGCCTGGAACACGCCTGCTGTCCATCCTAACCTAAGCCGCCTCCTGCTGAGCCAAGAGTGGAGCCCCGAAAATCCATCACCTTCCTGCAAGTGCAGCACTCACAAGAAACTCACTATGCTGCCAGAATGCCCTGCAGGTGCAGGAGGCCTCCCACCACCACAGGTTGTGTCCTTGTGCCATAAATCTTTGTAGAAAAGTTTCATGGCAAGTGCTGGAAAAGGGTTCAGTGTCGAAGTACCTTCCCATGCTGATACACATGGAAGGAGTCGAGTACATTGTTTTTCAAGAGAGCAAAACTTGCTGGAATTTGGAATTCAGTTTCAGAGGTATAGGAAAAGCTTGCCCATTTAAATTAATGTTGGTTATGTTTTCATCCAAATTGCAAACTTTTCATGTAGAAAAATCGAACTTTTCATGTAGAAGAAAATCACAAAAGTTTGAACAATTTGTCCCAGAATTTTTCTTTTGCCCCAAATAATAATTCTATTTAGAAGGTTGCCTTTCTTTAAAAGAGGAAAGGGCAGGAGGGAGAAAGAGGAAAGAAAAGAAAGAAAAAAAGTCACAATTTTTAAAAAGTGGAATGCAGTCCTCTCATTAAAATGGGAAAATTAATATTCAGTGGACCCCAAAGTATCATTTTTACATGTCTTTCAGTTCCATTTCTATCAGAAATGTTTTAAGCTAGCAAAATGAATATTTGTATCCATGTGCATGAAGATGAGTAATTTAATAACCAGTGATATTGTATGGAGGAAAACAGAGCTACATTCCCTCCTCTCCTATCAGTGAATTATCTTAGTAGTGCCCTTTATAAAATGTTCTTGCTCTTTTGAAGAGCAAAGGAAAATTACAGCCTGTCAGTGTTTGCATTTAATAAATGTTTTTCTAAGAAGTTAAACAGAATTGCAGTGACTCTCAGAATCTCAGATTTCTAATTTAATGTCACACCTTGCACACTGTTCATCTTTAATATTCCTGTTTGCCAGGTTTAACACACTAGCAAAATGACTAAAATATTTCTAATTTTCATAGAATCAGAGAATCATTATGTTAAAAAACACCTCTAAGATCGAGTCCAGCTGTTAACCCAGCACTGCCATCTTTACCACTGAGCTCCATCCACGTGTGCCACATCCCGACATTTTTGAACACTCTGGGGATGGTGACTATACCACTTGCCATGACACAGCTTCTTGAAAACACTCATTCAGCTTGCTTTGATTTCTCTATCACTGTTCACAAAACAAAGTTGTTTTGAATATCTGTAGAATTCCCATTTATGAAGAAAAAAAAATAGATAGTGGTTATATACCTTACAGCATCCCAATTATTTCTGATTTCTTAGTAATTCCTGTCCAACAGACAAAGTTGAATTTTGCTGATTGCATGCTAATGTATTTCAGAGATCTTTAGTCTAAAACTTCAATTCCAAGATGCAATTTTTTTATTTGTTTGTGGGGATTCTAGTCCTCTAAACAAAATGTTTATTATAATATTATCCTGATAATTTTGCAGGATATGATAGTTTTGTATAACTTGTCAGAAAGAAACAGTTCCCTTAAGTCTCCAGGAAAGCTACAGTGTGTAAATAATTGTCGACAGAATTATGTTTAAGCATAGATAGCTCAATTAATGAAGGCATTATGGGGATGTTACCTGTCTTCTTGTCTAGAATCAGCTGGATGTCTCTAATGTGTCTTCTGTGTCATACTGTCTCTGGACAAATGCAGGAACTTCTGGAAAGTTCCTTAGACTTACTTTCTGGGTCATTATCAGATGATTTCAGGTTGCAAGCTTTGCCATCTGAAGCTGCCCAGAAACCTCTTAAAATATATTCTACCTTGGGATAAACTCAGGAGTGTGAGGTCTTGCATTTCACAGCAATCCTTTTAAAATATTCAACAAAGCTGTCATGTGGCATCATTTTCATACTTAAAAAAAAAAAAAATCCTTCAAACTATCTAATGTGCTAGTGAAGGTGAATTTTTTGTATTAATTTTTACCTAAAGTTGCTAAATCATAGGAAACAACCCTTTTTTTTTGTTTGGTTGAGTTTTTTTGACTGGAGCCTCAGTTGATTTCAAGTTTCCTACTTTCAGATTGAAGAAAAAGCCTTGAGCAGCTCTGACCTTCATTGCAAAGACCTGTTTCAGAGTGACATGCAACTGTTTTGTGTTGCATGCATCACAAACTTACTGATTTATTCTAAGATCTTAGTAAAGTAAGGATGTTTAGGCAAGAAATGACCCTCAAGTGATTGACCCACTCTCTGTCAGTGATACTATGAACCTGAGCATGTTCTCTGAAGCAAAACTCCTTTTTCTCTTTTCCTGGAAAACACTTAATAGCTTAACACTTAAGACACTCTGAACTTTTTTGTGATTGATTAGGTTTCTGTTTCTTGCCAGAGAGTGCAGCGCAGCACAGAAATTCTTCAAGATATGACCCACAGAAATATTTCAGATTTTCTGGTGAAAACATATCCCACTTTGATAAAAGGAAGGTAGGGATGAATCTCTGTTTCTTTTTCACATGTGGTATTTTGTACCTGGTGATGAAATCCTTATTTAATAATGACATAACACCTGATTTGCCACAGTATTATGTAGATTTGAGCACCATGTCAATATTTCTGATAGAGGACTAGAAGAGGCTGATTTTAGGGGAGTTAAATATTTTCAATTATAACTATTTGTATAATCAGGTACTCCTTTATAGGCAGAGCTAAGTGTTGGTGCTGATGGAATGCTGTGTTAATGGTGATGAAAATGGTGCCCCTGCACAGCTCTGGTGAGCTGCCTTGCAGAGATATTACTTTGTCTCCCTGAAGAGCTGTAGCCACACTAATGTGACTATCTGCCTGAGTTAATTATCACTTGCTTCCCAGAAGTGCTAAAGAGCAGCCAAAGGACAGTGTAACAGGGATACATCCATCCTACTGATAGCTCCTCAGCTGGCCTGTGTGGTAATTAGCTGTGCAGTGCCCATGGCCTATTATCTCTGATTCAGGCCTTGCTACTTTTTCAGTTCCCAGCAGAGTTCTTAAAAATCCCTTTATAGTAGGTATGTGCTGACTGCCTTTGACTGATTCCCCTTAGTATGTGTCATAATTGCTTTAGATACATCTTTTAAAATCAATTAATTATGGATTAGAATAGCCCAGTATGTGTCACTTCAGGAATCTTGCTTATCTCTGTATGAGTTGGAGATGAATCATGTCAGAAAACAAATAGCCAAAAAAACACTGCAAGGAATACCAAAAGTCCTGCCAACTCCACAACTCAAAAGTAATAACCAGCAGATTGGAGGTCTGCAAAGTACAGGAATTCAACTTTAGTTTTTACTTAAGCCTTACACATCACTGATTTTGGTTCTGTGCATTTAGAGGGGATTCTCTTTGTCTGTTTCAGCTTGAAGAGTAAATACTGGGTCAATGAGCAGAGGTAAGAAAAGAATTCAGAAATTAAGGTAGTAAATAAAGGAACAATGTGTTTCCGTTTAACCAGGGAGCCTCACAATGTTTCTGCAAAGGGACAAGGGGAATTGTGGCAGAAATTGTAGAACAAAGACATGGCTTCAGTGGGAAATAGGCTGGGGATTAGGAAGGGTCTTATAAAAGGGGTTATATTTGTTTGAACTCCCTGCAGGAGATGAAGGCAAGAGGCTCACAATGGAGCTATCAGAGCTTTATTACCTACAGGAGTCAAACCAATGGGCACCGTGTGGTGAAAAGGTTCAACACAGTAGTACAGTATATTGTGCTACTGCTGTGACACAGCTCTTTCAGTGCCACATAAAAAATATAAACCCTCAAAAAAAAAAGGACCTGAGTGGGATGAAACCTAGACACCAACCTGTCAAATACAGAAGTAACAACCACAATTCCTCATGTCTGCTGTGTACATGAGCAGAAGGTATAAACCAGATTCCACTAGTCCTCTTCTTTAGGTGGAGACAGCAGCTAACCCTGGTGTGTGATGTCTACTCTGCAGTTACTAAGTTTTGAAAGAAACTGGTTAGCCTGAAGCACATAGTTATTTCATTTTTTACCAGTGGTAGGATTTCACTTCAAAGATAGCAGCTGGATGGCTGCCTTTCTTCTCAGAATATCTGCTTCATGTGCAAGCATTGCTTTCTATGGGGTTAGACTTCAGTTCACCTTGTGCAGTAGTATTTGTCATTATGCACTGGCTGGTACTGACATTGGTCAATACCAGCCAGTGCTCCTCTCAGAGCATCTGAAATTTCAACTGAGGTCTATGCTGTCCTTAGTCCTCCATGCTGTCTAAACCATTATATCACAATTATCTTGATTTAAAGATTTTGTTCTGTAGAAATCACTGGTTTGTTTTCTCCAAATCTTCTTTCTAAATAATTTTTTTAGGATCCTGGCATAAATCTCTCAGAAACTTATAGAGCTTCTATTATTTGTAAGCCCTAAAAAGACCTAGTACAACTTGTTAGAAAAAGACTAGAAATTGTTATACATTAAATATTTGTTGTATAGAAATTAAACTTGCATTAAGTGGGGTTTGTTTTTGTTTTTTGTTTCTTTTTTTAAGTGGGGATTTTTTCCCATTACTGTACAGTTATGGGTGTGTAGTATGAATTACTGATGATATTTTTCTCTTCACTAGATATGGAGGAATCTCTATAGGAGGAAGGCTTCCAGTCCTTCATGTTTCTGGAGATCAAATTGTCAATTTTTTAAGTGATCTTGGCCGAATGATGAATGTGACAGGAGTAAGCAAGATTTTTTATTTTGTTTGGTTGATTTTTGTCCCCTTATTAAAGCCTGGTTACTGCAGCATTTAGCTTTTTCATTTTGTTTTAGGGACAAACTTCACTGGCTGCTGCTAAAGAAATCCCTAATTTCCTTAAATACATGGAAACTGAAGATAATATTAAGGTATTTGCTGGAATTATTCTGCTAACTCACGGTCTTTCTTGACACAGACTTCAAATTATGAGAGTATTGCAGGTGGTATTCCCAGATGCAAGAAGAGTTAAAAAGCTAGACTTTAGAAATAACTTGGTATTAATATCCTATACTGTAGGTAATTCTTATTCATACTATTTCATATATGAGATTTTTTTAAACCATGCTATTAGTACTGCTTGCTGTCCCAAATACTTTGAGTAGTACACTAAATCTTAAAATGTGCTTTTATAAAATCCCCTGACAGTAGTTGTCCAATGCTTTTAAAAGCATAGTATGTGAGCTCCTGCTGCAGGACTGTGCCTAGGAACTATGTATTCCTGGTGCTGGATTCACCCCTGCTGACAGTGCCCACCAAAGTAGACAAAAGGCAGCCAAATTTTCTCCTGTAGCTCAGTGAAGACAATAACTGACAATTTAATCTGTGATTTCTGACTCTTTTAGGTGTGGTTTAACAACAAAGGCTGGCATGCTATGGTTAGTTTCCTCAATGTAGCCAATAATGCAATCCTCAGAGCTAATCTAAGGACTGGCCAAGACCCTGAGGAACATGGGATCACTGCTATAAACCATCCTCTGAACCTCACCAAGGAGCAACTGTCTGAAGTCACTGTGTAAGTCTGCTTGTGCTCTGCTTCTGGCTTTTACCCCACCCTCTCCTGGCAACTTACACCTTCCAGCATGCTCACACTCTGAGGAGAAAGTTCAATAGACAGAATGTGGAGGCCCTTCCCTGAAATTTTATTCTAAACAAGAATCTATTCATGTCTTGTTACATTCACACGATTTCATTCCCATCCCACATAGGAGCTATGGCCATTGGATATACATTATTGCATGTTTCTGTTGATTCCCAAGCACGAAGATTCTGAAATTTTTGTTCATGCTCCAAATCCAATACATTTACTTCTGAAATAAAACATGTAATAAAAAATGGAATGAAAACTTGTCCGTAATTGAATACAGGTCAAGTAGTTGACAACCCACTCTCTTGGTGCCAAGGACAGCATGCAGGTAGATTTTTCAATGGCATGTATGGTGTATTTCTGAATCTGAAAGTCATAATTTCTTGAAAAAGCCATCCCTAAAAAGACAACATTTTTCACTCTCCTATTATCATAATTCAATGAAACTGAAAACTTCGCATATAACACAGAGGCAAAATCTGTGCTTCATCTCACTGTCTCCAACTTGCCTTTTAAAGTTTTTTTTTTCCCTGCTTCCACAGAAGTTTGGCTATTGTGCCTAAATGTCTAGTTTGAGATGTCCCCACAAGAAAGGCTGTCAAACTGAGATACATAAAGAAGTAAAAGATCAGGGAATGGTGCCATATTTGTTAACTACAGTCCTCAAAACATCTTGGAAAAATACACTAGCACATTTTGAAACTGGAGAAGTCTTCTACTTTAAAAAGAGCCTTGCTACTGCTAGATCTTAAAGCACCCTCCAGAGTCCCCAGATGCTAATATAGTGTTGCATTGCATCCATTTCCTTGCTCACACTCCCTTCTTGTACTCTGTTGTAGACTGACCACTTCAGTGGATGCTGTTGTTGCCATCTGTGTGATTTTTGCCATGTCCTTTATACCAGCCAGTTTTGTTTTATACCTCATCCAAGAGCGTGTAACAAAAGCCAAACATCTACAGTTTGTCAGTGGTGTGAGCCCTGTTACCTATTGGCTAACTAACTTCATGTGGGACATAGTAAGTAACTGCTGGTCTGACTGACAGCCTCTGATTATCCTGGGTGTGCATGAGCTGAGGGCAAATCAGTGACTCAGGTGAAGGTGATTGATTCTAAGCATTGCAAAGCATCCATTTCTCTGAAGTGTTTCTCAGGGACCATGCTAAGGATCTGGCCTCTGAACTAATTACAGACGTAGAAACTAATTCAGGTGCACAACTCAGTCAACTAATGAAGCTGTCTCCTTTATAGTCTTAAGATTTCTAGCCCTTATAATTGAATACATATAATGAAGTACAACTTACTACAGCAGAGAGAAGCCTCATTGCCTGGTGCTAGTCACTCCTGTCCTCTAGAAGACCCAAAACATATTTCACGATATTCAAGAAACCTAAGTGGGGAAGATTAACAGCCTGCTGGAATAGTATCAATAGGCCTGACAAAATACTCTAGGGTGTCTAAAATGACATTCAAATGATACTCATTTAGGTCACTGTATCATGGTCATGGGGTTATTCCAAAAAGATTTATACCATAGGTGCAGACTTGCTTAGACAGGGCTCAGCTTCCCTCCAGCTACTTTGTCATAAAAGAGAAAATTCTTTGGCTGGCTGAGGCACAACAAGGGCTGGTTCTCTGGCCATGCCTTTGCAACCAAGAAAGTGGCCAAGGAATAAAATGCAGTAAAAAAGGCATGAACATGGAATTGAAAAATGAAAAAGAAAATCAATATTTGAAAAGCCCAAAACTCTTTAGGATTTGGAAGGTGTTCTCTCAGGAGAAGATAAAGCAAAGCATTATTTTAGTAAATGAAGGAAAGAAGCAGGTCCCAGAGTTCTTGTTCCCTGCTGTTCACAGCAGCTTCCTTGACAGGAATTCTGCTTGGCCGTTGCCCTTGATAGCATGATGCAAAGGCATGAAGTGGTGTTAGCAGTTTAGGCACATGCTGCCTTCCATTCTGCATGGGGAATTCCATGCATTGCAATAGAGTAATGCTGCTAATACTGAACAGAGAAAGGGCATTGGCCAAGCATACTCACTTTAGCTTCTTCACAGGAACGTGGCTCAAGTGACTAGCTCTTCTATCCTACACTGCTTCTGTTTGCATCACCAGAAACGGTACTTCCCTTGCATGGCCACCTTTTTGGGAAGCCTGGCAGCCAGACTATGAAATAATGGATTCACAAATCATAATCTAAGAAACAACAATATATGTTATATTTTTGATGATCAGTGTGATAAAAGATGTCTTAGAAAAACGTTTAGTACTAAGATCCCACATTTCCAGGGACCTGTTGATCAAAAAATTCAGTGTGACTAGTCTAACTCAAATTCTGATGTTCCTCAATATAAAATCCTTTTGGAATGATGTGTAGGATCTGGATATGTTTGCAGCCCTTCTCAGGTCTTACACATTGGTCTTCCCCCGGTGCTGTGGCAGGTGAATTATGCACTGAGTGCTGGGATGGTTGTGGCTATATTTGCTGGATTCAAGAAGAAAGCATACACCTCCCCGACCAATCTTCCTGTGCTCGTTGCCTTGCTGCTCCTCTATGGGTGAGTGTTCAAGGCTATTGCTGCAGGTGGGCCCTGTATTTCACATGGAAATGATTTCATGGTGCTGAGCTCGGTACTTAGTGGAACCCAGCTTTGAAGAATAGAACTGGATGGATCTAAATAGAACTGGGTGCATCTAAAACAGGTTAAAACTAGATTCTTCTGTGGGATATTTACATACTCTGTCCAGCTACATGCTGCAAAAGAGATTCTTTTGTCACTGCCTGCCTTGCATTTTTAAGCACCAAATGTGACCCGTACAGGAAAATATATTTGTTCAGTTTGCTGATTTCTTCCTTGTACATTGTGTAGGAATTAGTGGTTGTTCATTAGCCGCATTCACAGTCAATACTAAAGTATCTTCCAGCATTCAACAGTTCTTTGTTTCTTCTTCTTGGTGTACAATTCACTGAAATGTGAAAGATACCTGGGGTGACAGCAACCTTGCTAGCATTAAGTTTCCTCAATTTTAGCAGTGTCTTATGCCCTGCATTTTAATAGCAAAAAACGACTAAGCAGAAAAAAATCTTATGTAGTAACCAGGGAGAAAATAATGTGGTGGGTTAGAGGTTGGTTACACCATTTTGCTATACTTGGGATGGGAAGAAAGCTTAACTTTGTGTTTTATTTAGGCCAACTGACATGAGAATACTGAGAATTTATCATAGTTTTTTTCTGTTTCTTGCATGCAGATGGGCAGTAATTCCCATGATGTACCCTGCTTCTTCTTTCTTCAGTATCCCCAGCACTGCTTATGTTGCATTGTCTTGTATTAATCTCTTTGTGGGAATCAACAGCAGTGCCATTACATTCATCCTGGAATTATTTGAAAATAATCCGGTAAGTAATGTTTTGTAATTTTGCTGGATGGCAGGCACCTCCAAAGCCTCTGTCTCACTCCTCTCCACAGCTGGACAGGGGAGAGAAATATAATGAAGGCTTCGTGAGTTAAGGACTGGGAGAGATCAGTCACCAAATACCATCACAGGCAAATATTAGAGATATTAGTTGAATTTATTATTTAAAATACTCTGTTTTCTCTCTTTTAAGAAAACAGAACATCCAGTTTCTCTGACATGACAAAGAACTTTTCACTTATATTGCTATGTTTTCTTAAACAGGTCTGGTTTAAACAGCTTATATTGTTTCTGTTTCTTACAGTCTTTGCTGAAGTTTAATAGAACATTGAAAAATGTACTGCTTGTCCTCCCACATTTTTGTTTGGGCCGTGGACTCATCGACTTGGCCATGAACCAAGCTGTGACTGAAGTATATGCGAGGTTTGGTAAGTAAAGCCAATAAGAAACAAGTTATGGCAGTGTCACATGTCCTGACCTTGGATGAGATGTTTGGAAGGATTAACTCAGAAAAGTAGTAGATTTTTCACCTTTTCCATCATCAGATGGATGAGAAGTATCAAAGTTCACCTTCTCTGAAGGAATCACAGCTTCTGATAGTGCTGCCAGAGCTCTGCAGCCCAACCAGTAGTCTGCATTGGAAATGAACCCATTTGTTCAGTGACAGACTCTGGTGTCTTTTTGTCCTGTGTTTGGAAGACCCTAAATCACTATAGGAGGATTTATTTTTTCATTTCATTTGAATATCTCAGCTACTGTTTAAAGTGACTGTTGTTCTTCAAAGGCATTCTCTTGGGAAATAGTTGTCTTTGATATCAGACAACTTATTAAAAGAATAGTCATACAACAGAACTCATGTTTTAATTCAGAAAACGTGTCTTTTCCGTAGTCCATGCAAGTTTTGTGTAATGATATCCAAATTAGTGTGTATTCAAGAGAGATTAATTTTACTCCCATGCAGTAGCTGAACTTGGAAGGCATTTTGTTAAGACTTTTTATAAGACTGGAAAATCAAAACTAGTTCCTGATCATGAGCAAAAGTACAGTAATTCATTATGATTATGCTTTTTGTTCTGAGGAGTAGTGGGGTTTTTCAGCAGTATTTCACATTCCTTTCTGATGCTCTTTCTCCAAAGGTGAGGAGCATGTTTCTGATCCCTTTCAGTGGGACTTTGTTGGAAAGAACCTGGTTGCCATGGCTCTTCAAGGAGTTGTGTTCTTCTTTCTGAATCTCTTCATGCAGCGCTGTTTGCTTTCCACAAGATGGTATGTCTAAAAGTTCTAGTAATGTTCCTTATTAAAAGGATTACTATCATTGTTATTCTCTGTGTCGCTTTTTTCTTCTTTTTGTTCTTAATTTTTCTCTAAATATGTGGGGTTTTTTGTTCTCTATTAACTTATCCAATCTTATCTTAATTTACTGATATCCTGATCCAAGAAAGCATTTACAAATCTGCATTTCTTAGGATTTAAGAATATTTTATTAAAGAAATTAGTTTTCTTGAATTCAGATTTTAATGTTTGGTGGGGTTTTTTTTGTTTAAGACACTGTAATAGTGAGATTATAAAATTACCTGGAAAGTTTGTAGTGTCCTCAGTCAGGCTAGGTACTAGCTAGTACTATGAACTACTAGCCTAGTATCCCAAGACAGCAATTCTGCCACAGGACAGCTGTATCCTGGACAATACGTGAACTTCCCCTCTCTGTTTTACAAATGTGCCTCTCCCTTGATGAAAAGAGCTACCTACCAGCTGTGAGTGGGTCATTCACTTCTGTTCAAGAATGCCAACAAGAGTGGCAATAGGTGCAATTATAAAAATTCTGTCTTACAGAGAGATCTACTCAAAACTTCTACTTGTAAGGACCATCACTAGCTACTAAAAGTAGCCAAATAGTGAAGGCTGTGGCTAAGGGGCAGATTATTCTCATATCAGTGACTGAGAAGGCATGTTCTTTTGAGCAAGCCATTTCCTCCCTTTTTAGTATCTAGAGATTAACTTTAAAGGTCAGGGCTTCTCCCAACACAGGAGTACTCCAGCCAATTGTGGAGCTTCAACCCCTCTGCTTCCACCAGCCACATTTTTGGCAGCAGATTAGCCATTGTTTCACACTGTTATTCTAACTGAACACAGAGCAGTGTTCCCAGTATTTTGGGTTTTTCTAGGTTTGATGAGACTGCCATGTCACCTATCATTAATGAAGATGAGGATGTTGCAGAAGAAAGAAAAAGAATTATGAATGGAGGAAACAACACAGATATCTTACAATTACAAGAATTGACCAAGGTAATATTTTGAGAAGAATGAAAAAAAAAATATTTACTCTTGTCTTAGTTCTAAAGTTGCCTCATCCCAATAGCATTAAACTAAACTAAAAATTCAGATGATTTTCACTTCTGTAGATGTCTTGAAATAGGAACTTTCCTTTTTTTCCTCCCCCCGTCAATATAGATTTATGCAGGTCGACGTAAGCCTGCAGTGGACAGACTCTGTGTTGGCATCCGTCCCGGAGAGGTAGGTTGTTCAATAACACTGGATTACATTCCATGGATCAGTTCAGATTTTATGCCCCCATTGATTTGCAAGTTGGAAATGTTAAAGAATATGATAAATTTTGCAATTTAGTGCTTTGGCCTTTTGGGAGTGAACGGTGCTGGCAAAACAACAACATTCAAAATGCTGACTGGAGATACTGATGTGACATCTGGAGATGCTGTAGTGGCTGGCAGTAGGTAAGTACCTTAAAAAGCCCTGTGGCAGTCCAATTTCCAGCACGGAACTGTTCAGATCACACTCTCAATGATCCAGCAGTTCTATGGCACGGAGATCACAGGTAACACACAATTGCATTTGATTCCTTTAACACTTGTAAAATCTGTGGGTGAGCTGTAGTAATGCTAACAGTGGGACAAGGCAATCATATCTAGTGGCAACAGCTCCCAAACGTAAGATAACCCATCCAACAGGGTACTTTGATCTGAGCTTTGGGACTTTTCTCTGGCTGTTTCTAACATTTTTGTTTACACAGTGCTGGCATAATGTCATAAGTTATTACAGTGTGATCTGGTATGCACTTATGTTGGTTTACTTCCAGGTTGTAAGCCTTGGCTTGTTAGGTGTAGTTGGGATTTGATTCTTTGTCCATTGATGTGGTTTGAACAATAACTCTTTTGTTGCCAGGACATGGTCCTGCTCAGCCTGTTCTAGGTGACTCTGCCCAGGCAGGGTCAGTGGACAAGAAAACCTCCAGAGCCCCCTTCCAACCACACCCATTCTGTGATTTTGTACTTTTCCTACTACCATTGAAGTGTTAGCCTTGTGTCCTGCCTGTCTGTTGCTAGTGACCATATTCTGAGCTGAAATTATTGCTTCTTTTTTTTTCTAGATATAAACACTGTTTTCAAAAAATAATAAACTTGAGTGGCTGTTAAAGAACTTCTCGTTAAGTTTGTCTATACTTTAACAAGAAAATGGGTGAGGGGAAATGGGCTTACACTCTTAACCAGGACTGAACTGACTTAAAACAATATACTCCTTGCTCTTATGAATAGACAGACATTTTCATAGCATGTTTATCAGGAAGAATTAATTCTTCTCTTACAAGAGTTGTTGCCCCAGAAAATAAGGATTTTATTCAAAGTGTTCTTCTCTGTCTTAGAGCTAGTATTACAGAACTACAACTCTTTTCTTTGTTTCTCTAGTATACTGACCCACATTTCTGATGTCCATCAAAACATGGGATACTGCCCTCAGTTTGATGCCATTGATGACCTGCTCACAGGACGAGAACACCTGTATTTATATGCACGCTTACGGGGGGTTCCAGCAGAAGAAATCAAGAGGGTAAAGTACTCCTTCTTTTGATAATTAGAGTGATATTTGTGATGATTAATGGTGCTCTTAACACGCTAAGGGCCAGAATTTCCAAAGTGTACTCATTATTCTGTGTATTGAAGTCCTGGGTGTGGTTCCTGTCACTTGGACAGTTAAGTAGCAAGACCTCACTATCAAATGCAGGTCCCCAGGCATTAATGAGACTTGTAAATCTGTGGCACCAACAGTGGAAGGCTAAAGATGCGATTGCTGTGGCTCAGAATATCATTGATTGCTATTTTGCTCTTGCCTTTTAAGTTGTGTATGTATAGGGAGGAAAACATGAAGAGGATTCCAGAAGTTTAATTTCTTGCACAGATTGAAGTCTACAGTTGAGGCTGCTTTATGGCTTTCCCTCACCTGTTAGAATGCCCCTCATCATCATCATAAATACTTTGTACTTCCCTGGCCCAGTTCTAAAATGAATGTGCTAAAACCCAGGGGACTGTCATGTTTCTACCAGAAGAGGGATGTATCAGCAGTCCTGGCTGTTCTGCAATTGCTGCTGTGTGAAACAGATGTTTTTTCTCACAGGTTGCTGAATGGGGCATCCAGAAGCTGGGACTTCCTATGTACGCAGACCACCTGGCAGGGACCTACAGTGGTGGCAACAAGCGCAAGCTCTCCACTGCCATTGCCCTGATAGGCTGCCCACCACTCATCTTGCTAGTAAGTGTCATGGAAACACAGCCCTGGGTAGTTCAATATAACATCTCATAATACTACATGCTAAAGGGCTACCACGTCCTTGAAAGTTCCTTTCTGCCCTCAATTTACAGCTATTTCAGTGTAATTTTGAATTAATTTCAGGTGTAGTCTGGGATGTGTAACTATGTTTCTAATGGACCCCAAGTGATTACAAAAGAAAGACCTTCAAAAAAGAATGTGTTGAGATAAAATCTATAATCCAGAAAAATCTGAATTTAAACTGTTGTTTAGTTTCAGTCTGCCTTTTCTTGTCAGAGTGTAGCCACTGATGTAAAAGATGATCTTCCAACATATCCACCTGGCTACTTTATCCAGCAGAACACAGGAAGATGCCTACCCTTTTCCAGCCTTTAATATCTTTGGAATAAATTATACAAATTTATACTAAACTATACAAATGCTGAAATATAGCTCTTGCCAAACAAAATTAATGATTAGATAATTGCACATCTAAAGTGAAATTCAATATGAAATTACTACAGAAATTCTTTATTTAGACTATATTCTACCACCTTAATTTGTATGTCTATGGCTTTTAGACAAGTCACTTTTATGTTGTAAAGTTTATGAAGTGTTTTAATACATACTAATAGCCTTGGTTCCTTGTACCATTTAATATGCCTTTACATGTATTCTGCCTGTAGTAAACAGTCAGATAAGATGTTTTCTCATAATTTCTTAAGACAAGATGTTCAATGAAAATTTTTCTATCCTAATTTTGTTTGCATTTTCTGTTACTTACTGGGTTAGCTGACTTATGTAGGATCAAATCCTTAGGCGGTGTAAATCAGAATGACTTCACTGATTTCTTGGATTGAACAATGTCCTATATGTTTATGCAAGTGAGACAATCTGGTGAGAGCTCATTGTTGCCCAGAAAAGGCACTCCCTTCCCTGTAGCTGTGCTCTACACATACAGCACTGTATTCACACCTGCAGTCCATGGTCTTGTTTTCTTACTGCTTTGTGCCGAGAAGTCCATTGGTACCCACTCACTCCAATGCTTCTCAAGGTCTGTGTGCTTTCTCAAGGCACAGATTACTTTAGAGAAACAATCACATGCTATGGTCAAAAAAGTGACCTGATTCTAAATGGATTTTCCCTGTTTTATCTGACTCTGATTGCCTTAACATTTCCATTACAGGATGAACCGACTACTGGGATGGACCCTCAGTCCCGGCGCCTCCTGTGGGACTCTATTGTTGGTGTGCTCAGAGATGGGCGAGCGGTGGTTCTAACCTCACACAGGTAAAAACACTTGGAATTCAGAATCTGAAAGCAGCTGAAGTACATCTGTTGGCTTTTATCTCAAATATCTCTTCTCTGTTTTGAAAGTATGGAAGAATGTGAAGCCCTCTGTACTCGTTTAGCCATCATGGTACAAGGTACCTTCAAATGCCTAGGCACAATTCAGGAGCTAAAATACAAGTAAGTAGAATATTTTTATAGTGGTTTTTAATGGGAAAATTTAGTGTATGTGACATGCACTATTCTTAATATAAGTAATTCAATGGTTAACCACACCTATTTCTGAGTGCAGCTCTGTTGTATATTAGACAATCTGACCAGATCTCATTTCAACTCTATTATGCTACATACCACTTCTGCAAGGCAAATACAGGGCTTCCTAAAAAAACTGGATCTTATGCAATATCTTTCAGATACTGTTATTGTTTTCATGGCTGCAGAAAACTAATTTCCTTCCTGAATGATGAAACAACCTCTTCACCCAATTCCTAAATCCACATGTCCTTCCCAGGTTTGGAGATGGCTATATTGTCACTCTGAAAATCAAAGCTCCAAAGTCTGGGCTGCCTCCAGATCCTGCTCCTGCTGAGAAATTCATACGCATCAACTTCCCAGGGAGTTTCCAGAGAGAGAAACACTACAACATGCTGCAGTATCAGATTTGCTCTTCCTCTTTGGCTAAGATTTTCCGATTAATAATCTCCAATAAGGAAAATTTGCATATTGAAGAATATTCTGTGTCTCAAACAACATTAGATCAGGTGAGTAAAAAGTAAAACATCCATGAGAAAGCCTGTCTGGTGAGAATTAGGCAACATAATGGGGATGTATCCAAACAACTAAAGGACCAAATTGTTTAGAGAATTATCTCACACCTCTTTCTCAGGCAAGATTCCCAGGCCTCTCATCAAGGAGGGTGTATCAGTATGAATCAGTAACTTATTCCCTGTGTAAATAGGTGCCATGTGAAAGCTGGTAAGACAATGTTTCCCATATGACAGAATTCACACAACCCATTGCTTCAGGAGGAGCAGTCTGAGCAAGGTCAGCAATTTGGAATGAGACTGAGCTGAGAATAGCATTTTATTTTAAATAAGAGGTTTGGACTGTGTTGTATCAAAGACACTGTGAGAAGCAATTAGACACACAAAACCTGGGAAGTCCACTGGGAGTTTTGAAAACACTCACTTGCTAAAGGGTATTGGCCCCATCTGTCTGCTTTCCTAAGTAACAAAGGGTCCACATATGCAAAGCTGTTTTCGGTGGGATTGCTAGAGAGGAATTCCTGGCTGCCTTTCAGCTTCCTACTAAAATATTCTGTCTCCTCTTTCCTATCACAACCAAACTGAAGCTGTGTAAACCCTGCAAACCTGGCTGAAGCCATTTCCTCCTTAAGAAAAAGTAGGTTTTTACTTGCAAGCAAGTACATCCAAAGGAAGGAAGTTGCAAGGAAGTTTATCAAAATAAAGGAGGAACTCACGATCTCAGCTGATAACACAGTGTCTCAGTTCAGTGATGTCTGTGGATTCCCCTTTCTGTCTGTTTCCTGCAGAGCAGGAAACAGACTAACTCATCTCAGTTGAAGACATGGTGATGTTTTCTGCTTTCCTCACACAGGTTTTTGTGAACTTTGCTAAACAGCAGATGGAGGATGAGGAAATTCCTTTGCATCCGCGTGCAGCTGGAGCCAGCCGAGAAGCCAGAGTGTCCCCAGCTCTCCATCAGCAGGCAGCTGCATAGACTGCTCCTGCAGCTTCCAGGCTTAGTGTGTGCACAGTGCATGTGCCATACCAGAGCAGAGCAAGGGTAAAACAAAGGTTTTCACATTCAGTGTTACACTGATTTTTTTGCACCTTTCTGAGCACTGTGCTCTCAACAACAGCCCTAGCAACAGCCAACTTCTACTGCTCTATCAGTAACACTACATGCTGAGAGTGTCAAAGGAAAGGCAGGTCCTTGCTATAGAATAAAATCTTCCTCTAACATAAAGTCCATTATAAGATACAAGAAGCAAGTCTCATTCCTCCTTGTTGACATATAAATAACATCAAAGATGGATTCTCTATCTGGTACTTTCAGGCTGGCAGGTTTTTCTTCTTTAACCCTTGTGTCAACTGCTGCAAGTCAGCAAACAGATCCCAAGGCTGACAGCATTGCCCAGCTTAGAAGCAGATTCCTGCTGTGCTGAGTGCACGGGACTATCAAGGTCAGAACAGTGCTGGCTAATGGGGCTAGTCCTGGGAGACTGCTTCACTGTCTCACCAGGCTGCCAGTGAAAACAGACGGTTGTCTCAGCAAGAATGAAAAGAATTAATTCAGAGCTCAGACCCAGACAAGAAACTTGCTCTTAAAAAAAATTAATTAAAATGATCTCATACTCATCTTCAAGTTGCCTCAAAGAGAGGCCAAATGTCAAAATGGAGATTAAAAAGAAAGAGAGTATGACTAAATCTGCCAAGTTTTGTTTTCTTGCAAAGAAAGGTCTCTTTGTTACTAAACAGGACAACGTTTTCTTCTTTCCTGTGACTGGACATTAAGTGGATGTAAAGTGTGAATAGGGTATGTGCTTTCTACCTCCTCAGAAGGAAAATTTCAACCTGCTTGCACTCCACACTGCACTCAGTGGGAAATCATTTGACATTTAGTTCTTTTTTTCTGGTTCACAATTTAACTAGTGGAACAACAATACTGAAAACAAATTCATAATGATGTTTTGCTTCAGTTATCTATCAGATCTAATAATTTCTAAGAAATCTTCTCTATGTTATACAGAATTAAAATCTGGATCATGTATTTTTGCTTTGAAAGATATTTTTCTTCACTTGATGTAGTTTTTTTTATAAGGACACTCTTGCTGTTTACTGTACAAAATATTATGAAACTTCAGCAACCAGCTCTAGCCTTCTCTTTTTGCCATAATTATTTCAAATGGTTTTAAAATAGATTTTATTGCATATTTCACCCTTACAAATAGTTCCAAAAATCTTTCTATACATCTATTATAGATAAATAAATTAATTATGAAACAAAACAGTATCTATGCATTCTCTTCATATTCTAAAATAGCTTCTTTAAAATGTCATTCAGATAGATTTCAATAGCCTTTTTAAACTAGATTTACACAAAACCCGACTAAGTCCCACAGAACATCCTGTGACAAAGAAAACACAGGAAGTCTAAAATGAAGCTGATTTTTCTCCCTGGCTCCAAAAATAGGAAGAGCATTCCGAGGACTAGCAGTCACTTCATGTATTTACAAAGTGTATTAAACTACTGAGAGAAGCCTAATGTAAAATGCTGGGTAAAAGGTCAATTAGCATCATAAGGAGATGTTATATATCAAAGCAGGCCAGATATCAAAGATATGGCATAGGTTAGATTGCTTCTGAATCTTATTTACTAGTATGCAACTACTAATGAGAAGACCAAAAGCAAACAAAAAACCCAGCACATTCACAAATACTGCAAATATTTCTTACTTAAGATTCTTTTGGCAAATTAGGTGTTAGACCCAAATCAGGTTTTTGAGATATGGCCTATTTCTTTATTCCAGGAACCATTCATATTCTTTGGTAATGTTATGCTACAAAGCCCCTGCCTCCAGGCAGCACACTGGTCTTCAAGTCAAAGAAGGCAGATCATGCAACTGTCCTGAGGCCAGCTGCCATGCTGGCTGAACTGAGCTCTGTAGTTAGCTGGTGTGTCCTCGTTCCAGTGTACTTCTGTCTTGCAGAATGCCACTGCTAAATTTGGAGCTGCTTTTCAGCACAGACTTCTCAGGATCTCTGATCCATCAATCTAAACAGACTAGTACAGAAAAATCTAAGGCAGGTTACAGTGAACTGCAGGGACTTTTTTTTTGCAGCTGTGCAACGAAGCCTTATCTTTTAAGGTGCTTCTGAGTTGAGAATTCTTGAATATAAGGAAGTGTAGCTTTCAAGTGCATACAATTTCCCTTAGCAGTGGAGATTCAACATGCGCCAAAATCCTTTTAATTTATTTATTTATTTGGCAGGACATTTATGAGGTTTTCTTCTTGAGGTTCTGTGCAATATTCAAATTGAGCCTTCTTTTCTTACAACAAAAAGGGAATAATTGGCATTCTATGACTTGGATAGTCCTTGAATTCTCTTAAGTAGGTGCAGTGTTTATCCTTTGCCCAGACTGTCATCTGAATGAAGCAAAGCAAGGTGAACAGTCCCACTAGAAGGAAGGGGAAAAAAATACATTCATTATCAGATTAAAAACATGCTCCTGCTGCTGACATCACTTCAGGTTGAAGTACCAAAACATTACTCACCTGGAACACACTGAGTCATGATAGTGAAACTGATCCAGGTCCCCACCTGTTTTGGCCAAGGAAATTTAAAATATTTCTGGTGACAGCATTTGCATTTATGTCTCTATTGATCAAAATAACCTTGTCCCTAGTATAGGTAAATAAAAAAATCAAGGTCAGCCAGATCAATTTCTACTGTCAATGACCTTTAGTCAAAAAGGTGAACAGTGCCTTATTATCACAAACAAAACCTTCATATTTGCTTCCACAGCTATTACAATGACAAACTTTAAAGCATTAAAACAGTGTCCTTCCTTTTGCTCTGCCTAATTTGTATTCATCAGACCTCCATCACTATTAGCAATGGTAACTTTCTATAGTCTGAGGCCCAATGCTGTTCTCATGAACATCTGTTGATCTCCACTGAATTTCAAACCTGACACTGTCCTTCTGTGCAAGAATAAATGTTACACTGAGTTGCACTGACTTTATCTGCTTTTGAACTCAGTCAGGAGTTGGGTCCTTATTAAACAATATTAAATGATAAACTGATTAAAGTTTCTAAAGCAGTCACCGCCAACAGAAGTGATTGTGTAACTTAAAACAGGGAAGACTTTGGCTCATTTTCTCTATCACAGTATCTTTTACTTGTCTGATCACTATCTTTCTGCCTGCAGTGATATTTCTAGGCTCTTACATTATAAATCCACCAGACACCTCCATCCCCTCAATGCAGCACATGTTCAGTGACAATCTCCCTGTTCCTGGCTGCAGAATTTGCCCTGCTTTACAGTGTATGTCTTGTCTAGCAGCCACACGGAAGCACTGGCCCAGGGTCAGGGCTGTCTGTGTAAGGTTAGTCACATCAGTACTGACCCAAGGGAGGGGAGGAAGAGCAGGCAAATTCTTGTCCACAACCTGATTTCATGGGGTTTAGGGAATGAGGGGAAATGTACTGAGCTGAACAGTTTCAGAGGTTTCTTCCATGTAAAACATTCTAAAAGAAGCAAAAATATATTCAGTGAAACTAAAATCTGAACATCTTGTTTGAAAATACATACCTCATATGTATAGTTAGGGCAAGATACAAAGAAAAACAGCCATGTGAAAGGATTCTTTGTTGGATATGGGATCTTACAGGTTTTGGATCCTATAGATTAGAAAACAAATCACAAAATATTCACACTCCTAAATATATTGTTTCCTGTAAAGACAACCCAGCTCTGTCTACTTCTGTGTCTCATGACTGTCAGAGGGACAAACAGGATGTGGGAAGACAGGATGTCCTCTGGACTCACAAGAGGAGTGGGATACCTGTGAGGGAACTTTCCCTTGCTCACCAAAACATAGCTTGTAGCAGCACGGTTTCCTTTTGCACTGGAATATAACCAATGTAACTGCTCCCAACACAACCCAGCCCAAAACAATAAAAATTACGGTAAGATAAGAAGTGTTGTTCAACAGTCTGATGTCAGTCCTTGCACTGTCTGATTTCCCTTAGAATCCAATCTTTACAGTGCTGTGCAACCTGTGCTCCCACAGCAGTCAGCTGAAGGTACCATCACCCCCCAGGATCAGGTCTTTCCTGAGGCAGAACAACTGAAGGAAGTACTAAATGGCTGCGCAAAACTGAAAAATGATGATGCAGTTTTTACCATTTCTCCGGAGGTCACTGAGTGCAACATGAATGGAAAAATTTCCAGCTTCACACAGCTGCAAGAAAAAGTATGACAGAGTTAAAAAACTTCTTACCTTCTATTTGTTTTTCTTCCTTTTGTTATTTCCTACAGTTCTTTAAAATATTTAAGAAAAGGAAAATCATCTATTATAAACATAATAAATATCCTTAACTAAGACTACTGACAGAAGGATGAAACATCTCCATTCAAATATGAGTCTATAATTATATTCTGTTATATCTTTATAATATTTTTCAGAAACTGTGGCCTCAATGTCCAAAGTATCAGATTTATTACTTACATAATCCCCTTGAAATCTAAATAAACCACAGGGGATAGAAGTGAACTCGGGGGATATTTGCTTTATTTTTTGATCATTCTTATGCCTTTAAAAACATCCAAAAATTATTTGCATAGTCTTGGTTTCTCAAAAGTTATTAAAATCCCAAGGAAGATACAATTTGGTTTCTAAGTAAGTTTTCTTCTCTAGAGTATAATTGATATTAATAATGAAATATAATTGACCCAGCTTCCTTCACTGGATTTAAAGAATGCTGCCCCAATCAATTAGGAAGAGAGTGTATTGAAATGACCCATTTATATGATTATGGACAGTCTCCAGTGTCTGCAATGCATAACTATTAGCAAATGACTAGTGGTCAGAGCTCCTGAGTTTTATTCCCAGCTCTGTGCTTTCAGTTATGGACTTTATAAAATGTGAGTAGATTATGACCTCACAGAATTTTCATCCAGGGAAGCTGCTTTGGGATCCTGCAGTCACTGATTAATTTGTCAAAGCAAGTGAGAAGCTGATGTTCTAAACAAGTTACACATGCATAGGAAAAGTCTTTACATGGAGGTACATATTTATTGGCTACACTGAGTTTGCTTCTGCATGTATGAAGTGTTCCTAGGAATAGTGAGAATGAACAGTAACTGAAGAACTTTGAATCATAAAGAAAGCTATAAACAGGTTTGGAAGCTCAGCAAAAGAAAACTTTATCACAACATAATCTCTTAGTTGGCCAGTTGTCTGAGATTTATGATCTGTTGTGATTCTTAACACTCAGTAAACAGTTCACAAAACAAACTCACTGGCTTTTAAACATAAGGTCACAAACTTTTAAAGATTGTGAGAGATCATCCCAGCAGATAAATATCCTAGTCTTGGAATGGACACTGAATCAAAATATTCCTTTGTGTACAAAGTCAAATTAAAACCTGACAGATTTATCTGTTTTCCATGCAAGTGGACAGCTTTAGTAGTATATCCCAAATGTCCTACTCCTAAGGATCTGTTCATCCTACTCACTCCTCCATTTATATGACAGAGAAGCAAGGCAAGATATTTTAGCATTTTATAGAAAAAGCAATAAACCTACCAGGAACATGATCACAGCAAAATTTATCTGTTTTTTCCCATAAGCTATTAAAAAAAAGAGTTTGCATGTCATTAGTACTAGTATACAAAGTACATACATAAATACTTAAATCAATGAGGGTTGTTTTGCTACTTACAAGGAGGAGTGTAAAGAGGATGATTGATGTAATATGCAAGCCAAGCTGCAAATCCCCAGTAATATAAGCAGTTCTGAAAAATAAGCATTTTTTCTTTGTTTTAGTACAGTGTTTTAGGCCATTATTTGCTGCAAGGACTATTGATAACAATGGATCAGGACAATCCTTCAACTTGCTGATAATACAACAAGAAATGGCAGTACTAAGTGTGGTAGGTGGGGGCGGGTAACAGGAAATAAGAAAGGAAATGATACTTATAGAGTTAAGATTTCCTCTAAAATATCTTGGAGTTGTTACATGTATAAACCATTTTAGAAACTATGATCATATGACTGAAAACAAAATTATCTTGCCTGGCAATCCATTGGGCAAGGTTGAAGAGCATACAGACTGTATGTTGAAGAGAAACTTGTTTTGCTGACCTCTGAGACTGTTAGACCAGATTTGGGCACCGTTCTC